CCCCAAGCTGTTGATTGCCTGATAGTGATAGCTCACTGTGCTCTCATTTGTTCTTCTACCAAACATTCTACTGAGCGCGTCTACAGAGCAATGCATGTTAGAGATGAATACATACTGTACTTGCGATTGCATGCATTTTCTCCTTGCTTCGATGGACTTACCTTTAGCAGCTCAGTGCCCGTGTGGTTGAGAAAATCAATAAACTCTTGGCTTGTCTCATTGTCATCATGTACCCGCTCGCTAATTAGCGTTTTGCCGAGCAACGTGATATTGATTTCGCCCCCATGTTCGGCTAAGAACTGTTGGGATGATGTTTCGTACATTGGCGAGAGGGGTACTTGGTAACTGTTGTCTGGACAGGAGTGAACCGAAGCAGTTACCGAGGCAGAATCATCCAAAGCGTCTGAAAGGCTCAGAGTTTCGGCCAGGCTCAAACTCTCGTCCAAAGGCAGTGCATCATTGGGTTCGCGTCTATTTCGGCGGTGGCCCAGGACAAAGAAGTGAACTACAGCTTGTATCAGCACTACGCTGAGCCAAGCCACTGCAGACAAGGGTATATCGGTCATGTTGTTTTGATACGTGATGTTGCGTGTATGTTCTTTTGAATGATGCTTGATGACTCCCTCCTCAATTGCGTTCCAATAACCCAATCTACATATGTTGAAGACGCGTCTTCCAACAACGGCATCTCCAATCAGGTTGCTTGGCCCAAGCTTCAACCAGCCATGCCGGCGGCTTTGCGTAGAATCCTACCTTGATTGCAGCTTTGTTCTTTTCGGGGAAACTAACCAATACCGGAAGAAAGAAAGGGTAACAGAAACACTCCCCCATTCCGTTTTCGAGGACTATGTCTGTACATTAGCAATTATGTTTTGAAGTTTTACCACTCTTGGTTTTACCAGTGCTCTTTCCAACGCTATTCAACACGGCTCCATACAGCAAATATCAAAGGTCAATAGCTTCTATTTATAATTAAAATTCTTCAAAAAATCATCGTACATGTATTTCAATAGCTCTTGGTAGAGATGAAACTATGGAAAAGGCACTAGGCGGCCGTTGCGATGATGATCAATTGCTCAGGTTTATCAAGGAAGGCATGTTGGCCACTCTCGAGTAGACATTTTCCCGGTCGTCTGCTTTTTTGGAGCAATTGATTTCAAATTCGTACATGACAGGAGGTACATGGTCAATGGCACCTCCGGAAATTTCAAAAATCTTGACCAAGGCAGACCGCAGCATACCTTCGGCCATGTCTTGAATTCGTTGTCGTTCCATGACTGCCGCAGAATCATCACTGACGGGTCTGGGAGTATTGTTCACCACTACTCGAAGATGCCACTGTTCCCAAATAACTTTTTCTTCATTCGAAACCAGCCCAAAAAGTTGTCTTGTAGCCCGTCGTTCAAAAAAGCTGATAGTCAATCCTCCACTTAACAGTTCTGGACCGATTTGTGAAAGTGTCATTAAAAAGGACCCTATTCCATCATCCACTTTCTTGTCAACATTGCTGTCTAACGCAGAGTGCGCCGATGGCATTGAAGACATTTTGTCACTAGCAATTCGGGGATACGTAAGATTGAAACCTTCGCATTCCACATCACGGGGTGTGACAGGTCCCGGACTTCGGATGAAAAGTATCGTGTATAATATAGCCTGCAGCGCCTCTCTCACTTGGCCAGTCGATAGTTCTAGTTCTGGTAAATGGTGTTCTTTGCAATTCATAATAGTGTGTAGTGATGGGACGTGTTGTTGTGCTGATTCGAACAACAGCAGGTTTGACGTTTTCTTCAGAACTTTAGTCTTCAGCCTTCAACTTCTTCTGGCGAATTGCAGTCGATTTAATCGAATGCTATCAATGCACTGATCAGCATCACCTGCTGTCACGCTGCCCGCGCGAACAAAACTGTGCGGTTGATTGGGATGATGGGCCGATGATTGATAACAAGCGACAAAACCAAACGGCAGTTTTTCATTAGCAACTTGCAACCAGACATATTTCAAGATGGCCACCAAATTCGCAGATATCGGCAAGGGACCTCGGGGTGAGTCGGTAAAGATGATGTATCGTGTAAATTGGGTGAATTTTTGCCATTGGAAGCTTTCAAATCTTGCGTGGACGTCGTCGTCCCTTTTTTCAAATTCGCTTACGTACCTACGGAGTGTCAAGTAGACTTTCTACGTGTCTATATTCTGAGAAAATGAGAAAAACGTCAAGAGGATGTGTGAATTCTGCTGAAGTTGGTCGTTTCTAACCTTTTTCCACACCATCTCGCAGACCTTTTGAACGACGACTACACCACCAAGACTACGCTCAAGTGTAAGAAGAATGCTGGCCCCGTCGCTGTCACTATCGAGACTGAGAGAGGTGAGTCTGGAGCCCTTTCTTCCAAGATCGGCACCAAGTTCGCCTACGCCAAGTTCAATGTCGACAAGGCCCAAGCTACTGCCAACGGTGGACGTGTTTTGGAGACTTCCATGATGGTTGCCCCTGGAGTTAAGCTTTCTTTCAAGGCCAACAAGGGAGCTGATCTTGGAGTTGACTACAAGTCTGGAAACTTTTGCGCAACCGGAAAATTCGATGCCGCCAACATGTCGAAGGTTAGCTCCAGTGCTTGCATCGCTTTGCCATCTGGTGTCATTGCTGGAGGAGATGCTACCTATTCCCTTGGTGAAAAGGCTGGACTTTCTGGATTGAACATGGGTGCCAGCTACTCCCATGGACAACTCTCTGCCAGTGTCACCTCTGCCAGCAAGTTCTCACAATTCAACCTTGGCCTTCTCTACAAGGTCAACGACGAGGTCACCCTTGCATCTCAAACTGCTCATTCTAGTGAGAAGACTTGCGACGTTGGCGGAGTTGGAGGTTCGTACAAGGCTCCTTTCGGACTCATCAAGGCCAAGTACTCCGGATCTGGACAAGTTTCGGCCTCTTTGATCAAGGACATTGCCCCCAAGGTTTCCTTGACTGCTTCTGGAACTGTTGATGTTTCCGACTTCTCCACTTTCAAGTATGGATTCGGACTCACCATGTAATTTTTAAAAAATAAGATTGTGATGAGCTTTGACATGTGTATCCTTTTTGTCTCGGACACTTTTGTAGGATTTTTGTTTGTCCGTCGTCGTGCGATAACTCCACGTCGTGTGCGTCGAGATGCGTGCGTCAGTAAGTTATGGCGACGAATGAGAGTGGCCTAAGATACTGTACGACGAAGAGAGGAATGCTGCTAATCTGTGTTGGTTGGTAACAACATAACATCTCCTCTTCTGAACGATATATACTGATTATTGGATTATTCATACAGCAACTATAGATCAAGCAAAATCTCGACAGTACTTTCAATCTCCTGGGCACTTTTTGTTGTCGGAATACTTGGAAAATGAGTTCATTTCGGAAGCTATCCGTTTTACTTCTCGTTGTTCAAGCACTTGGATCATGGGTAGATCCAGATACTCCCGAGGAAGCCCAAGCTACAGTGCCATTGAGTCCTTTAGATAATAGAACATACGAACTCGTGAGTAACACTTTGGCACGCTAGATACATTCTGATGATTGCTTTGTCATGATCCTCATCGGCTTGAACATTTTAGGTTTTCTCGGATGAGTTTGAACAAGACAACAGAACATTTCACGATGGAAACGACCCGCGGTGGACTGCTCTGAATAAAAATGATTGTAAGACGAATTGACTGGCCCTGTTGACTTCAAAATTTGGGGATGAACTCACCCATGTGATTCTTCAGACACAAATGCAGCACTCCATTTCTACAGTCATGACAATGCGAAAACTTCCGATGGAAAACTGAAGATTACAACAGAGGAGAAGGTTAACGCGTACAGAGCATTCAACGAAACCACCAAAAAGTTCTTTATGGACAAGAAGCATATCCAATCTGCAATGGTTCAGAGTTGGAATAAATTCTGTTTCACAGGTGGAATTATCGAGTTTCGCGCCAAACTGCCAGGAGATGCACACACCGGGGGATTGTGGCCGGCCAGTAAGTGGACTGTTTTTGTCCTCGAGGATGGATTTCGGATTGTATTCAGCTGACAACATTATGTTTTTCGTCTTAGTGTGGATGCTTGGAAATTTGGCTCGTGCGACATATGTTGGTTCTTCGGATTACGTTTGGCCATATAGCTACAATCAATGCGACCGGAATAAGCAAGAGGCCCAAGAAATCAATGCTTGCCAAAAGGTTTCCCATTATGGGATGGAGCCAGGAGCCGGCAGAGGTGCACCGGAGATCGATGTGATCGAGGCCATGCAAGGAGAAATTGAGAAGCTTCCAAATACAAACATTACCAGACCATACCAGTCTTGCTCTCTACAGGTGCGGCAGCGATAGATGAAATACATGTCCTCACCTCATTTATGCTCAAACCTTTAACTCTTTTTTTTATAGGTTGCACCTGGAATCGAGCGCAATCGCCCAGAACTTGGGCATAAACCAAAAAAGGTGAGTTGGAACCACTTTGTCTCAATTGTTGCCTCCTGTTTTCTAACTTTTCAACGTTCTACAGGGATACTGGTACACTGGTATGGAATACAATACAGATAGTAACGAGACAAGATCAGAACTGAATCCATTCTTTTACGGCGTCACGCTTGAGCATGAGCAAAAGTCAAAAACTTACCAGGCTGATGCCCTCTCTGCAAATACCGGTTTGAATGACACGCACTACAAAGAGCAGCATACATATAGAGTAGAATGGGATCCACCGGAAGAAGATGGAAGTGGAGGACATATTCGATGGTACACAGATGAGGAATTTGTTTATAGTGTCAAGGGTTCGGACCTTTCAATTACTGGAAGTGAAATCCCCAGTGAAGCAATGTACTTGATCATGAACACTGCAGTTGCTAGTACTTGGGGCTTCCCAGCCCCCTGTCCCAGCGGCTGCAAGTGTTCATGCTTTGAATGTGGAAACCCCGATTGTGCCTGTGCTCTCCCTCCTGGATACTGTGACAACTTTCCTGCATCTTTTGAGATTGAGCACGTACGCGTCTACCAAGCAGTGAACGAACGGAAACACACGCTTGGCTGCTCCCCAGTAACGAGACCCACCGAACTCTTCATCAAGGGTCACGCAAAAAGATATATGGAAAAGGGAGATAGGATGCCTCTACAACCCGTTGTGAGCGGTGGAGCATACTGCTCGACGGCGGGTGCATGCGAAGGATTTAGTACTTGCCAGAACGGGGTTTGTGTCTGTGATGACGGATACACTGGCCCAGATTGTCTTGCATATGACGGATTCTATACCAATGAAAATCGTGCCATAACCTCGGTTCCCATCGGATGTAAGTAGGCTCTGGTGTGTATCGGATTGTAACTTCTGAACACATCACTCAATCTTGAAATTTTTTTGTTCCTGCAGGGAGCAAAGTCTATGTCCCAAATGGAATGGTTGCACTGATAGCGCTCTTGGCTTTTGGATTTATTTTCGCAATGATCCAGGCGGTGAAGAGCAAAAAGTCTCGACATCACTACAAGAAAGTAGAAAACGCCAATGTATTTGAAAACGATGGAAGCCAATCATACCAGCATTCCGAATCACCAAAGCCAGAGGTAGTCACGTACTCGGTTATCGATGGGAAATTGGTTGACAAGTGATCCAGCTTGTCGTCAAATATTGATTCCATGATCGCTTCTTTGTAGGGGCTTATAATGAATTGTTTCTTCAATAGGAGGATGCTGGAGACTGGGAACCTGAATGCAAATACTACCATCTTCAAATAGCCCCAGCTCTCAAAAGTCATGCGAATCTCGGCAAGTTGCAAAGAGGCACCAATCGTCAACGGCTGGCGGTCAAACGAAACCATCAGTTTCAAAGTACCGCTGCGACTCGTCAAGCTGTGGTGCAAAATCAATGAGTCTAATATAAAGCTATAACACTTTTTCTAAGCTACAAAACTTTTACAAATATCTCTGATCTGGCAATTCACACTACGTATAACTAGATCACTATACTTTACGCTTTTTTAAAATTTAAAATTGGACTAGTTGAGCTTGACAGAGTGAATTCTATTCCACAGTTTCCCAGTGACATAGAGCATGTCCTCGTCGTCGGAAATGGAAATACCATTAAAGACATCTGCTCCTACTTGATGGCGTTCATCTGCTGGCCACAACATGCTAAAGTCATACTCCTTTTCTGTTTCTCCAGTATCTGGATTAATGACGAGTATCACATCTTCGAACCAGACATTCGCCTGCAGAAATATGTTTGATGCCATGAGTTTCTATTGCAATGCCAAAAGATCAGATACTGTAACAAGTCGCTCCACTACGTACCAATACACGTCCCCTCCAATACTCAATCTCGTTCAAGTTCTTGGCCGGTTCTCCGCTCAATCTGTGAGCCTTGACCTTTCGTGTTTCTTCCAACGTAGAAGTGTCCCAAAAGTGAAGGTATGGACTTCCATCAGTGACAATGAATTCATCTTTGCACCAATCAAATGTGATACCCCATCCCTCCGAGTTGGTCGTCTCATATTTAAAATCCTGTACCATCTCCAAAGACTCAATGTCATAAATGAATCCACGTTTTGATTTCCAAGTAATCTGAACCAGTTTGTCGTGCCAAACCGTCATTCCTTCGCCAAAGAGTTTTGGACCCATATCGACTGACTTTAGGACGTCACCCTCCTTCGAGTTTGGATCCAGTATTCTGACCTTGGATTGTTTAAACAGACCGACGCTTTCGTATATGACGCCATTGGCAAATGTCAATCCTTGACTGCAGATATTTTAGGGAGAATGTTTGAGTATACCGGTGCAGTTGCTGCAAACTCATTAGAAAGCAGGCGATATGATACAAGAAACTCACGTGAACGAAGTAGGATCATGATCTATTTGACCAATGACAGTATATTGTTGACCATCTTTGGTTGTAATAGGTTTCTGATACCATTCTATGTGATGCTCCAGACTGCAATTCTTCATCTCCACTATCTCTTCCACAGAATCTGCTTCAGCACCAGGCAGGGCGATCAATCCACTGTCGACAGCAAAGTATACACCAACGCAAGCTCCAATGAAAGCTGTAACAATGAGGCAATATACAAATCCCTTACAATTGCATTGTCCACGATCCTCCTTTCCCCAACCGTCACTTTCGTCAAAGTCATAACCAACTTCTTCCCCAGTCCGAACTTCAGCATCGTTCCATTCTCTCATTTCTATCGAACCATCTTCCATGTCGGATCTACCCATGGCTCCGGATAAGCTTGTCTTTGGTATGATTTCGAAAGTGTAATGTCGGTGAAACTTTGCAGCATCATTCCGGTCTTTGGTCTTTCGGTGAAATGACACTATTTTAGATCCGGTCGACATTTTTCAAAAACTGGGAGGTGACTTGTTTAGTTTCTATTTTGGCGGGATTTGTCACATACGAACGTACATACCACGCGTACATACATCTAAAAACGTAGATCACTTACGGAAGATTCGTACCGTGCGTTAGGACTGGCCTATGTTTCCCGTACAAAGGATGATTTCTTAGCAAAATCAAATTCAGTCACAATCTAAATACAGAACACATCGCCAGTCGGCATTCAACAACAACATGTGAGTCTACCAATTCCTCATCGTCAACCTTTTACCAAATGTCGCCAACCCTTGGATGACATTTTTGGTCAAAGGTCTCCATCACCATCGTTGCCATCGTCTCGTCATCGTTGTTGCCTCTCGTCTTGTCGGTCCAATCGTGTCAAAGCCATCATGGAACAGAAACAAAACAATCTTGACAGCGTCGCAGCAGGATACGGCTGATTCTTGTTTTGCGACGAGGTTCCGAACGGGGGGTTCTCAGTCGTATTTCTTTACGTAGAATTGGTACTTTTGATTCTGCCACGAGCTCGAGTCCTAACGGTCGAAAGTCGTCGTAGCGTCGGTACAAAATTCTACGGCGTTCGTCGAACGCCCCCCAATTCGGATGTTTTTGGGTTTCGCCAATTGTCGCCCTCCCATCTCCCTTCGTGTATGTATTGGAAAGTTACTTACAAGGCTGCATGTGTTTTGGCTTTGTATCTATTTCCCCATCAGTCACACCTAACGATTGTAGGTTTCCATCGGATCGTCGTCTTCTTGTGTCATTGGGGTCGTTGTTGATGAACCTGACTTGTTGAATTGCAAAATGAGAATGTTGGATGTTTTTTTTTGGCGATGTTCCGTGACACCAAGTTGGTTTGCCATCATGATGACAGCTTTCACTCACGAAATCCATTTGTCGCTTCCACATCTATAGACTCTATACGCAAATGGTCAAGGCTAGCGATTCACCAAAAAAGGAAAAGGTTTCTTCAGCAACGAAGCGACCTACCAAAAAGAAGCCAAAAGACAAACCCAAGCGTCCCCTGAGCGCCTACAATTTCTTTTTCAAGGAAGAACGAGAAAAGATCCTAAAGGTCGTCCTTGCAGAAGATCCTTCTAAGTTGCAATCGAACCCAGAAGATGTTGATTATCTAGACGAGGCGGCTATTGGTCGACTGAAGAAGGAAGGAGGCAAGGTTTCCTTTGAAGAAATGGGGAAAATAATTGGAATGCGATGGAAGAACATTGACCCCGATCGTCTATCTACCTATTCCGAAATGGCATCAGAAGACACAGAACGGTATAAGACCGAAATGCAAGCATACAATGGCCGTCAAGAAGCGAAGATGCGTAGTGAAGCTATGAAACAACAAGCTGCAAACTACCCTCCACCTAGTATGGCCATGGCACGAGGACCCGAAGGATATCCCCCTCATCCCGCCGACATGGGACGTGGGCCACCACTTGGCATGTATGCTGACCAAATGGGTAACATGTCCCCGTACAATCCAGCTGGCCTTTCGGGTTATAGCCCCTATGGTGGAATGGAATATGGAGGTTATGGTGGCATGAGTTACGGAGGAATGGGTGGATATGGGGGCTACTCAATGGGACCTCCACCCCAGGGTCCACCAGGAATGGAAGAACTAAGCTATTCACGTGGGGGAGGCTATGGGGGAATGCAAATGATGGGAGGTGGATATCAAGGAGGCCCACCACCACCGATGATGAGCTACGGAGGCGGAGGCGGTGGTCCACCGCCAGATTATGGTGGTGGTCATCCAGGTCATCCACAATACGTCATGGAGCCTCATCCAGGTGGACCACATCCAGGAGGCTCACCTCCTTCCCATGGAGGTCCACCACCACAACATTCTGGCGGTGGACCACCACCTCCAGGCATGTATGGCGGATATGGTGGAAGCTACCCTGGTCCTGGTGGATAATAACTGCGCGCAAAAGAGAAACGACGGGGCATAAATGGGGATAGTTGTATATTTCGTTTCGCACATTAGCAATGAAAACTGTGGAAGATTGATTGATCAAAACTTGAAGTTCTGATTTTTCTTTTTTCACAATACCTAATGCTGATACTGATGTTCGGCAATCAATGCTAGTAGTACTTTTCAATTTATAAATGATAAAATGATACATGATATTTTAACAAAAAAGTACACTTTGTAACTGTAACAATCCTTTCTATATATATATATCATGCATTTATCACAAGATGGTCGATCTACCCATGTTCAATGTGTATTTTGAATTGTAGTCAAACCGGGACAATGGTCGGGTTGGGTCCACGAGTGACCCGCCAGGACTCCAATATTTATTTACTTGGCAACGTCATGGATGGCATTGGCAATGTAATCAACATTGTCGGAAGTAACTCCCTATTGTGTTCAGAATAGAATCGACAAAGTGTGAGAAAAGATTACTGCAGCAAACGTTGGGATCCAATAATAAACTTACCGCCATGGAAATACGACCATCTCCTGTGCAGTAGACATGGTGCTTAGCGCGCATTTCCAGCACCTGCTCGTTACTGAGGCCACTGTAGGCAAACATTCCAATTTGGTCGGTAATGTGGCTCCAGTCTCGGGTCGATCCTGCCGATTCCAGGGAGTCTTTCAAGGCTCCTCTCATGGTATTAATGCGATCGGCCATTCCCTTGCACTCCTCACGGAATTCAGCAGTGAGCTGAGGATCTTCCAAGATTGTGGTCACAAGTCTAGCTCCATGTCTCGGGGGGTTGGAATACATTGGGCGAATCACAGTCTTCATTTGGGAGACAACTTTCTTGGCTTCTTCGGCATCTCTTCCGACAACGGAGAGAGCACCAACACGCTGACCGTACAACCCAAAGTTCTTGGAGAAACTTTGAACCATGGAAATCAAGTGACCATCTTCCACAAACATTCGAATGGCAGCGGCATCCTTGCTGGCATCTCCAGAAGCAAAGCCTTGGTAGGCACAATCAAAGAAGGTAACAAGGTCTTGCTCCTTGATGACACTGCTGAGCTCCTTCCATTGCTCGAGAGTTGGATCCATACTGTGGAAACAAGGAAGACATGTGAGTTACTAATATATCATATTTGGAACTCGTACTTTCTGCGTCAAGGCATAACTCACCCTGTTGGATTGTGAGCACAGGCATGGAGAAGGACGATACTTCCAGCTGGCATCGATTTGATATCATGCACCATCCCTTCAAAATCCAAAGACGAATTATCTGCATCGTAGTAACGGTAGTTCTTTACTTCAAGCCCAGAGTTTGTGAAGATATTCTTGTGGTTTCCCCAACTAGGATTCGGGAGGTACAAGGTTGTGCTGCCGTGCTTTTTCATCATCTCTCCAAAAACACGTAGACCTCCAGTCCCAGATAGTGCTTGAACCCCTTGAATGCGACCCTCCTTCAAGGCAGCCGAATCTTCCCCACTGTACCGGTACAATAAAAACGTGTAAGATGAGATTGAACATATTCAATGTGACGCAGACAATAAATCTGCCAAATCGACAACTCACTAGGCGAACTCGAGAGCCAAGTCAACAAATCTTGGCTCTCCTGCAATTCCAGCGTATTCCATGTCAAGACCACCTTCTGCTAGAATCTTTTCTGCTTTTCTGACCGAAGGAAGAACGAATGGTTTGCCCTTTTCATCACGGTATGCCCCGACACCAACGATAACCTTGCTCGGATAATCATCCTTTTGGAATTGTTCGTTCAACCCGATAATGGGATCAAGAGGGGCCATTTCAAAAAAGGACCATGGGCTTGTGCTCATCTGACGCAGCCGAGTGAGAGGCAGTCTCCTCAATTGGTTGCTGCATCGTGATAAGGCGTTCATTGCCATGGCGTCAAGAAAGATTTTGAAATTCGTCTGACCGAATTGAATTGTGAACTTTCGTCAGGTTCACGTTTCTTCGTTCTCATTTGATATGTCTGTCGTCTTCCGTCGATTTTGAGGAAAGTGCAAAGATACAGTAGAACCGAGAAAAGAGTACGAACCGCACTACACTATGGTCCTGATACCCAATCACCTAATGATCTTAACAAAAGAAAAATAAGCTATCGTTACAACTACCTCTTACACATCTTTGACATCCGAAGATATGCTTTCTCAAGCTCACCCTTTGCCTCGCATTTTGGAAAGTTCTCGAGGTCAAAGTAGTGGGGTGCCAGCTCCACCAACCAATCCACATTGGTCGATGTGACTGTTCGAATGAAGTTCTTCGTGGTGAGTGCAAACTCCTCAAATATAACCCAATCTTGTCGGTTGTTTACGACAGAGCTCGGGTGGATAGCAACGTTTTGATTGTCCTTCACCGTCAAGTATTCCCCAGATCGTTGACGGTACGCTACTTGCATAAACATGCCAGCTGTCAAAGCCTTCCGAATGTCCATGCTAGAAAAGGACCCATCCCCCTTGATGTCGGATGAGACATATGCCAAATCTAGTCTCTTCATAATGCCAATGATCTGGTTTCTGACATTGTTTGCACTAATCATGGCACGCTCACTGATAAAGTTTTCCCAACACCAATTTTTCCTTTCTCTTTCAGGTACCATGTTGTATTCATTGAATGCTCGGAGCAGAGTCAAGTGATCACTGTCGGCATGGGTGAACTGCGCTTTAGCTTCATCAGCTGCCTTTGCTTGCTCACGAGGTCGGAGGAAGATTTGTGGTACACTCAACATGGCGACAATTGTGACAATCTCCGCAGAGCATCCATAATCGGGACTGACAAGAATCAGCTTTGCCAGTTGAGGATCCAGTGGTAGTTCACTCATTTGATATCCCAGCTCAGTCATTTCTCCTTCATCGTCAAGAGCCCCAAGGTAGTTCAATAGCTCTAGGGCACGCATCAGCGTTTCTGGAGCTGGAGGATCCATGAAGTCGAAGTGGACCAAGTCATCGATTCCGAGTTTCTTCAAAGTCAAAACCACATTACTCATCTTTGATCGTAGAATTTCGGGATACGTCGTTTCTTGGAGGTCCTTGTGAAAACTCTGCTCAGTATATAGTCGGAAGCACTTTCCTGGTCGCGTTCTACCTGCACGACCTGAACGTTGTCTTGCACTAGCCCGAGAAATGGGGGATACCAGAAGCGATTCGACTCGGATACGTGGATTGTATACTTTTTGTTTTGAGAATCCTGGGTCCACAACGTAGACGATTCCGTCGATTGTTAAACTTGTTTCGGCAATATTAGTGGACACGACAACTTTTCGGCCGGGTGGTCCTCCAGCAACTTGTGCTTTTGGGGCAGCACTAAAGATCTTTCGCTGTGCTTCTGGCGGCAGCGACGAGTACAATGGGTATACCACAAGTTCTCCATGGTCTCGAGCCATTGAACCGGCCGTTTTTCGTATCTCTTCGCAAGCTTGTTCAATTTCTGCCTCTCCTGTCAGAAAGACAAGTATATCACCCGGTTCTTCACATTGATGGATATGAAGGGTCGTTCTCACGGCTGCTTCGACATAGTTTCTTTCGGCCTTGGCAGTGAAAAATACTTCGACTGGGAATGTTCGGCCAGGCACTTTCATGAGTGGAGCATCGTTGAAGTATTCTTGAAATTTTTTGGCATCGAGTGTCGCACTCATCACGACCACCTTTAGCTCCCCGTGTTTGGATCCCTTCGTTCGTTTGGGTAGAATTTCCATAAGCAAGCCCATAATAACATCTGTCGCCAGAGTGCGTTCGTGACACTCATCCAGAACAATTGCGCTGTATCTTGACAACAGGGAATCATGCATGGCTTCTCGCAGCAACATACCGTCTGTCACGAATTTCAAGACAGTCCTGTTGGGATCACTGACATCTTCAAAACGAATAGTGTAACCGACTTCCTGACCAAGTTGGACATCCATCTCATCGGCGACACGCGCGGCGATACTTGTTGCGGCAACTCGACGCGGTTGTGTACAAGCAATGCAGGTTTCTCCCTGTGAAGCCAAACCAGCTTCCAATAGAAACTGGGGAATTTGAGTAGTCTTTCCAGAACCTGAATGACGAAACGAAAAGTGGAAGATACCAATGATTAGTCAGAAAGAAGAAAAAAACAAGGCAAAGAGAAAGTGCAAAAAATGATGCATCCAACGAACCTGTCTCTCCCTCCACAACGACGCACTGATTAGCCATAACTTTTTTCAACAGTTCTTGCTTGAATTGATAGACAGGCAATGTGAAACGCTTTTTCAAAATGGAGTAGTACTTTTGAGAGTAAGGTAGACCGGTCCATGGGTTGTGCGTTTGCGCTTCCGCTTCCGCGTTGTCATCGTCTGCCTTTTGCTTCTTGTTGGATGCCTCATCGTCACCCAAATCGATTCGTTGGCGTCTTCCTCCCATTGTAAAACGTATTTGGTAGGCTCTGTAGGACTGAAGGTAGGATTGGTTGCGTCCTGAAGGAAGGAGATTCGTTCCTTAAAATTTCGGGACCAGAGGCTTCCAAGGCTGGGTTGCGCGATTGATGTTGGTCGGGTTGCGCTATTGATGTTGTTCTTTGATGAGTTCAATGGTTTTGGGAGTTAGACCTGTTCATGGACAGACCAGATAGGTTGTAATTTCGGGTGAAGAACGTGATCTTCCCCGCCCCCGCGGTTTGAAAAGTCTGTTGGATAGTTCGGTCGGATAAATAAACACGATGACTTCCAGTGAAAAATGACTCGGATCAAAATAGTGAGAGGACTTTCGCACTATGAAAAAGTCATATTCACGACCGAAAATCCCGGAAGATTAATGTGTCATCATACTTCCCCAATGTTCTTCCTCGCGTATTTGTATTGGTAGCGCGGCGAAATAGTTACAAGCGGGGTCTAAAAGTTTGGAGTCATACATCGAAAAGCCATTCTTTGAATTTTCCGATTAGTTTTGCTCAGAAGAGTTCGCTTCATTCAGTGTTTACAATTCTTGACAACAAGAAATCAAAGATGAACAGGTTCAACGTCGGTTATACATCAATGACAGAGGATGGAAACCAACGTCCAACGAAGAGACAAAAAACATCGGCGGATGCAAATAACTTTGCTGTCTTGAATGAATGTGGGATTTCTGCTTTCTTCAAGGGCCAATACAAGGAAGCGCAAGAGTGTTTTGCATGTGCCTTCCGTTCACTGCACATCCAAACTCCTGATTTCACAGAAACAACAAGTTCTGGATCGAAGACAAAAGAAGAATATGATGAAGGCATGGATATTAAAGTTTCGCCTCTACCAATTCCAGACTCGTCAACTATCGAGTTGACACGAATTATTCTGAACTACAACATTGCCCAAACGAGAATACGTCGTGGGGACTACCGAGAGAGCATCGTAACACTCAATCAAGCGCTAACGGAGCTTAACGAAAGCAACCAAAAGAAAAAGAAGATCAGTATTCGGATTCTTCACAGTTTGGGTTATTGCTACTACAGACTTAGAGTCAACTCCAGAGCCATGACATACTTTCAAGATGCATTGCCCATCTGTTTGAGTCAGACTTCTGCCACGCTTTCCCTTGCGGCGACTCTGAATTGTATAGGCGTCATTCAGTTTCACGAAAGCACACCAAAATCAGACATGGCAGTGAATGTATTGAGACAAAGTCTCGAACTGTATGAAACCATGTCCTCTTCATCAACTGAAGTTGCCACTGTTCTAAACAACATTGGAAGGGTCTATTTCCATTCCGCAGAATACGACAAGGCATTGGAACACCACGAAAAGGCACTGAAGATGCGTGTGGATCTGCTGAAGAAAGACTCCATTGATATAGCCGCTAGCTCCTTCAACTTGGGGCAGACATATCATCGGAAAGGGAATCTCGACGAGGCACTTGAGCATTTCACCAAATTCTTGGATATCCTTCGATCAAGGCGCAGGAAGAGATATGCTGATATGGCAATGGCTTATCGCTGCATTGGCGATATTCATCGAGTAAAAGGAGATTTGAAAGTCGCCCTGCAGTTCTTCCGAAAATCCGTTGTCGCAGCAGAGTCGTCGCCCAAGGGAACCATTCAACCAGAATTGACTTCTTCTCTTACCAAACTCGGTAGCATACACTTTGACAAAAACGAGCATGACTCAGCTCTGCAATGTTTCAAGGAGGCACTGACGGTTGCCGAGAGATCATTGGAAGTTGACCACCCTCACACCATCGCCACTTTGACGAATATGGCACACATCTACAAGCATCGGGGAGAGTATGCTGTGGCCTTGAGGGCGTATCAAGCTGCACTGGAACGACAAGAAAGGGCTTTTGGTGTTGAGAGTGTCGAAGCGGCTGCAACACACTCTAGCATTGGCCTAACGCAGTTTCATCTTAACGATTTCCAGAGTGCCTTTGAATCTTACCAAAAGGCTTTGCGGATACGACGAGAGGTTTATGGCAGCGATGATCATTTGGAAGTCGCTTCAACACTAAACTCCATCGGATTGATTCTCTTTAAGCAGGAGAGTTATGATATGGCCAAGGAATGTTTCTATCAGAGCCTCCGCATCCGCAAGAAACTACTTGGAGAGGATCACCGAGATACCGCAGTACTCTGGTACAACATTGCAACTGTGTACTTTGAAATGGGGGAAGAAAATGTTGCTGTGAAGATGTACAGGGAAGCATTGCGAGTGGAGCGAAAGGCTCTTGGAGATGAGCACCCAGACGTGGCTCTGACTCTGCAGTATATTGGTCGAGTGCTTTTGCAGCAAGGAAACCTTGATGGGGCAATGGATAGCTTTCGCGAGGCACTTGCACTCGAACGACGAAGGAAAAGTGACAAGAGGGCCTTGGCAAGAATCCTGAATATCATGGGTAATATTTTCCTTCAACAGGCGAATGTGAAAGAAATGATGAAGTGCTTTGAAGAAGCAGCAGGGATATTTGTTTCGCTTCCTCCTGGAGCCGCCGAGAATCTTGTTGTGGTTGGATACAACTTTTACAACCTGAGTAAACTCCACCCTCCAGCTGCCCCCATAGCATAACCAAATATAGCTTTTGACTTTTCCGATGATTGATTCAGATTTCCAGCAGTAGCATTGAACTAACCCAGTCATTATTTCTTAGCTCCTTAGCTCTTCCTCTTCCAATTCAGTCATCTTTTCTTCTCGGACCATGTCTCTCAACAGTGGGAAAAAAGTGGAGACGAGGCCATCATCACTTCCTCCTTCTAAAATTTTTGATATTCCATGAGTGGAATGTTTACAGCGATGGTCTGACAGTCATGAATGAATTAGTGCATGCCAAGGCCGTCCAGATACTTTTGATTGCTAGCGGACGTACCTGTGATTCGATCTTGGGGATAGTTGTATGTCCTTATTCTTTCACTACGATCGCCTCCACCCATCAGACTACTTCTTGCAGCTCCCCGTTTTTGTGACTCTTCCTCTCTTTGGAGATCGCGAACACGTGCAGCAATCAGCTTCAATGCTTTGTCTTTATTTTTATGCTGACTCCTTTGATCTTGAATCGAAGCTGTTATTCCAGTAGGAATGTGGGTAATGCGAACGGCACTATCGGTAGTATTGACCTGTAATGAAAGAAAAAAAAGACGAAGTCAATACAACACCCAAAGGACGAGGAAAGACTAGAGTCATACAGCATAGCCACCTACATGCTGTCCACCGGCACCACTGGATCTCATGGTTTCAATTTTTAGTTCTGACATTGGTAATAGCTCCTCCGCGTTGCCGCTTTCCTCTAGCAATGGCAAAACTGCGACGGAACACTTTGAGAGGTAAAAAGCAGGACGTGAGAGGAGGATGAAACTACACGGTGCACAGATTTGGTTGCCTCTCCACTTTTTCACTCACAGCACTAGTATGGATTCGAGTATCATTAACTGGTACTCGCTGGACTCGGTGCACACCACTTTCATATCGTAAGAATCCATATGGACCAACACTCGATTGAAAATCGTCGTCATCATCTGCATCCAAATCGGCACCTGCACCACCAAAGCCTCTGGCCGATACAGAAATGACTGTTTCCTTGATACCTCCAATATCAGTCCTACTTTCGGATAAAGTTTCACAAGAAAAATTCATGGCCTTGGCCGTCTTTTCATAGGTGTCTCGCAATTCCGAGGCAAACAATCCTGCTTCGTCTCCTCCCGTTCCAGCTCGAATTTCGATAATTGCGTTACTTCGCGTATCATCTTCATCCTTTGGAAGGACGGCAGTTCTCATTTTCCGATTTAGCGCTTCCATATCTTCTTTGCATTGTTCCAGTGTCTCCATGCATTCCTTTTTCATATCTTCATCATCGCCACATTCCTCCAACAATTCCTGGATCGATTTTTCTTCTGCTAGAATGGCCTCCTTTCGTTCGTGCAAGGAGACTGCCTGTGCCAACGATGCGAGTTCCTTCCCGTATGTATAAGATTCTTCTGGATTTTCTTCCATTTGCTTCAATAGCTCGACATGTCGGGCCACCATTGTGTCCAATCGCCGTGTGACCGCTTGTGAGAGCAAATATCGTCTTCCATTCCATGGATTGTGAAGGGGAAATCCTCGTTGCTCCATTTTCCAGCAAACCCTTGGCATACGAGAGATGGATGGAGCTGTGGCCGCTCTGACGAGAGCTCGTCCTAATGGTCGTTCCACATGGATCATGGTTGCAAAGTATTTTGGTATTGTCATCATCGTCCGATTTCTCCAATGCAGATGACTCATAACCAGTTCAGTTTGATCGTACTAGTCGTACTCAAAATTGACTGACGGATCGGATCGGATGTGACCTGCACCGGCATCACTAGACTTTTGCTCCCAATAATATAATATAATATAATATATATATCCAATGGTGTGTCTTTACCTTTTAATCGAGCTTGGTTATCTCTAAAGACTAGTCATTCCCTCTAACTAGTTTGTTTTCCAAAAAGCCGCACAATGATTCCAGTTCATTGATGTCTTTGGTCTGTCGTTCAATCTTGAACTCGACCGACTGACAATATTGTCGAGTCATGGCCTCCAGATGAACATCTTCATTATTATCATCTTCCGTCAACGAGGTTACCGTGGATACATTCAGATCCTCACTTCTCCACCACTGGCCTCCCAAATTCAATCTCTCTCCACTTTCCTTGAGAAGATTCACCACTGGTTCCAAATCACTGGACAATGGCGGCGGCGGCTTGGGTGGAGGAGTCGATGGCAACCGCCGTGGCGATGGCATGGAATCTTCCAGTCCCAATTGTTCCAGGCGTTCTCGGAATCGTCGTCGTTTCTCTGCCGATTTGGCAGGTGTGAAATCCATCATGACCACTCCATTTTCAGTTGTAGTTTTGGGAGACGCCGCCGCGTGCTTCATTAGTAGCTGGCGACCCGCTGCCACCATGGAACGGGGTGTCAGCGAGCGTGGTGAATTATCAATAGCAATAGTAGTAGCAATAGTAGTAGGAGTACCAATTGGTGGCCGAGGAGGTGGTGGGGGCGGAGGAGGAGTTTGATCGGCAAATCGTACCGATCGCTTGGACGGGGATGGTGACTTGCCCGACTTTAATTGTTCAAGCTCATAAAGAGCTCGTTGGAGTGCCATTTCCATTTCGTCTCGTTTTTCCGCACTCTCCTTGGCCAAATCCAAAGCTAGTTGGGCGTCGTCTTCGGCAGCTTGTAATCGAAGATTGGACTGCCGAAGTTCATGTTCCAGCTCGTGTCGGTTTTGGATTCCTTCCTTCAACTCCGTATCCACCGTCTTTTGCAAGGAATTCTTTTGTTGCTCAAGTTCCCTATTTTTGGATCGCATGGTTTCAAGCGCGGTCTTGGTTTGAAGATGCATTCGTTGTTCCGACTTTAAGGCTTGCTTGGCCCGTTCAAGTTCAATGTTCATGGTCAAAACGTCATCGGCATGTGACTGAGCTATCCGTTCCCGCGTGGTGGGACTCTTGTAGATTTGTCGCGCCTTTCTCCGTTGTTGCTCGGCACTTGATGAAGCTTCTGTGGCACTGTCCTTGTTGGCCAAGGGTGTTGCGGGACTGCTATCAATGATGGCATCCATTTCATCGTCATCAAAGGAACCACTTTCCTTGGATTCTAAATCCATATTGTTGTTGTTGTTGTTGTTGTTGTAGGCTACTGGACGAGTGGTCCTTCTTGGAGAAGGAGTATCATTAATATTGATATGGAGAGTAGAAGCTACCGAGTCAGAGGTCGGCTCAATCATACCAAATCCAAAACCAAAGGGGGCTTCCGTCTTTTTGGGAAAGGATCGTGTCATGTAGCGCCGAGCAATTTCAGATGCCGCACGAGCATTCTTACGCGCTGTCTCAGCATCTCGAGCTGCATCGGCTGCACAATTATTCATTTCCGTACACGTAATATCTAGCATTTGAATCAAGTCGGCAGCCTCTTTCATGGGTGACATGGGAGCCGCATGGATGGTGGTCGTGGTGGTGGTTGGTGTTTCATCGTTGTCATGATCGTCCTTGTTCTCAGAAGTCATGGCGGCGGCTTCTTCCGACATGGTCTGTTGCAACCTTTTATGCTTCAATTATGGACGTATCAAAGTAATGTCAGTAGTTACAGTATATTATGCAATCCCCCTCTATTCTTTCCAATCGATGCAGCAACAAGCATCAGTCATTGGCTGTTTGGAATTGTGTTTTTTCAAAACCATCGACGACGTGAGAAGAGTTTTAGCCACGGCTGTCTGTCAGACCATCGGTTGAAATGGTAAGGTTCATTCAAATAATCGAATGAATCAATCAATCAATCGGTGATTCACAGAGTGAGTCGATTGCATTGATGATGATTCACAATCCCAGTACCAGTACAACTTTGAACGCTACAGTAGTATTTCTTTTCTGATGATCTACAATGGATACTTTAATATATAGAACTATACAAAAGGGCTGATCAGGCAGGCAGCTGATGCCGCAACGGGCAAGTACGATCATACCTGTAGTCCGCGTGCTGCTGCATTCATCTTGACGACTTGCGTTTTGTACCATGTACCAGCAGGACGACATGCATCTTGCATATCCCACATCCATGGCATCGGTAGATGAACAAGGATCCCTTCACTATTTTTTATCTTCTTTGGAAAGACAGTAGGAGACAAACGAAATTTCATCGTTTCCAGGAGACCGCTATCCTGATAGAAGCATTCTGAATTCATTCGATCAACGACAAGACTCCACCATACGTACTTCTCGATCTCCAGCGTCTCTTCCTCCATCGATAGAGAGACCAAAGAGAAGTATTGGTATCATTTTCAACTTTATTGGTTTGATGTCTCCTCGCTTGGCCAGGCAGGGGGTCCTTCTCAATGCAATTATGTCGAATACAAATTTACAGTTGTTTCGCATCCTTCGTTCTTGTCTTCTTCAAGTCCGTGTCAACTCGTTCGACATGATTTCTCGTGAATTGATTTTTGTTTCTTGTTCGTCAGATATGGGAACACGTACAAATCCCTCAGAGCTGGCATCGAGGTCATGATGTAAGTAAAGCAGTCCGTGCTCGTCCTTGGAATCTGCCTCCTCAAGAAGAACGCTCAGCAAGACGTCGTGATGCTTCCAAAACGAGAACCACTGTGGCAACAAGACGGAATGATGGCAGCGAGTTCAATGTGCTGACATGGTGTGTTGAATACCGCAAGTCATGAAGACCTGGATGCTTTCAAGAAGAGCAACATACATATGACGGTAACCACAAATGACGACAAAAGATACCACGGTGTTTTCTGCAGATCCGAAGCGCGCTTTTGGTCAGAATTTCATACCATCTGTTTCAGACGAGTCGACCCACCAATCAACTTCCAGCACGGCATTTGACGAGCAACGTCACACAACTTTTGACACGCACGTGCGATCCGAAAACACTCAAATCGAATCTCATTGGTGTCTTTTTGTCGTCCAACCCACATTTTTCTTGTTCGGTTGTTACGCTAAACACGTCACAATCTTTTACCTCCGTCGTTGTTGTCATCTCTTGTTGCAACACCACCTTTGGTTCTATCCATAAACACAAATCCTACCTTTCTATCCTACAACATACCAATTAATCATGCCTGTTGATACCCAAAATCAATTCGATGCCGTAAGTGATTGCCAAAGCGAAACGTGAAACCGCAAACGATGAATTCCAAAATCTGATCAAACTCTAATCGTCGTTTGCGTTCATCTTTTTTCTTCTTCTTCTTGTTCTTCTTTCAAATCACAGGATGCCTTGACTCTGAACCGTTTCGTCATGGCCAACACCCATGACCACGACTTGGTCATTCTCATGAATGCCATTGCTACCTCCTGTAAGCTCATCACTTCGGCCGTCCAACGTGCTGGTGTCGCCAAGTTGTACGGTTTGGCCGGAGAAGTCAACTCGACCGGTGATGACCAAAAGAAGTTGGACGTCTTGAGTAATGACATGATGATCAACGCATTGGTCAACTCGGGTGTCTGCGCTGTTTTGGTGTCGGAAGAAAATGAGGAGCCAATTATTGTCCCACCTGGACGATCCGGAAAATTCTGCGTTGCCTTTGATCCTTTGGACGGGTCGTCCAACATTGACTGTAACGTCAGTGTCGGAACCATCTTTTCTGTGTACGAACGCAGACCTGGATCCAACGGAACCGTCGAGGACTTGTTGCGAAACGGAGGTTCGTGCTTGTGCGCCGGATACGTCGCATACTCGTCTGCCGTCGAAATGGTCTTTACCTTCAAGGGCGGAGACGTTCACGGATTCTGCTTGGACAGTACCATCGGAGAATTTGTCCACACTCGTAACAAGATGGTTTTCCCAGAAGATGGTGGCAAGAGAATCTACTCTGCCAACGAGGGTAACTCGATCCACTGGGACCAACCCATCAAGGATGCTGTCGAATTGTTCAAGTCCGGTGAGAAGGCATATGCCGCCAGATACGTCGGATCCATGGTTGCCGACATTCACCGTACCATCCTTTACGGAGGAATCTACCTGTACCCCGCCGACAACAAGTCTCCCAAGGGTAAGCTTAGATTGCTCTACGAAGGAATCCCAATGGCCATGATTATCGAACAAGCCGGAGGAATCGCGTCCACCGGTATGTTTGAAGGAAAGATTCAAAGTGTCATTGACTTGGTGCCAGACGCCATTCATGCCAAGTGCCCCATCATCATGGGTGGAAAGAGAGACGTTCAAGTGGTCTATGACCAATACAAGAAGGCCGGAGTAGATGTCCCTACTTTGTAAATTTTGTGCTGATGCCGCTGAAGCTGCAGGCTATACGCTCTCCCTGATGACATGACATAACTACGACTAGATAATAAAAAGCTGTTTTAATATTCTGAATCTTTCAACATAATAATTGTATTCTACTGTGTCTTGTGGACGGTGATAAGGGATGAGGGGGTGTGACGAGTGGCGAGCAAGTCATTCGCTCCACCAGCCAGCCAGTTCGACATGATTTCCCTCTGTCATGGTACCTGGTACAACGAGCTGTGAAGAGTACTTGCCATCCTTCAATGTGGCAATAGTAATAGTTTCACTCAGCTAAAATCAAAGATTATTTCTACCTGCAGTGTGAATATTGTCAGCGACTCAGTATTTTTATATTAAAAGCGCCTTTTTTTTTCTTTCAAGAAAAGTGGACAGACGAAATTAGCTTCAACAAGTCGTAGGCCACTGGGGTCCTTGAACAGTTCCTTCGGTTCCTACTGTAACTGTTCGTCAGCTATTTGGATGCAACAATTCATTGAGAAACTTGTTTGATAGTCTCGAGACCTGTACCGTCATCTTGCGCAAAAAGTTCAAGCAAGGTGAGCCTGCGGGATTTTCTTGTGGACTTTGTTGCGCTCCTTTTTTGTCAAAGCTCGAGGGCAATATGTGGGTTCCGTATCTCGCAACGTCTTGATGAACATGCTTGCATCTTGGTGGTGATCTTTCCAGGAGGCCGTAACCGCAATGGGGAAAACTGCATTTGCCATAACGGCCAAGTTCCAAATCTAGGATTATTTTTCAAGTCGCAAATCTCCAGTTTCCAATCGACTCCAAATGCCTGGTTGCACCTTGTCTTCAATAACATTGACAGCGACCAACACTTGGTTTTCTTCCGAGTAACCCTGTCGAGCCTGCTGCAATCGAAACAAACTAGGTTCCCCGCTCTTCATGGCGACTTCAACACCCCGCTTCAGCAATTCTTCCAAACGAGAATGCATCGAAGAATCATCCACCAAATATTCTAGTGTCCATCTGGCAAGTGCTTTCAACACATCCTCGGGGGCAGACTGACCAATCACAAAATCTAGCAATTTGAGCATTTGGGCATCGTTGCCCTTCAAATCGTCTTTGACCTTCCAGTGTTCAAATAGGGAATACAACTCGTCTGAAACAGTAATAGCATCACGGCAATTTTCAATCTCACTCGAGGACATGTCTTGAAACAGTTTCAATACTCGTTTCAGGAGCTTGAATCCATTGCTTTCTTCGGTTCCATTTTCGGTGCTGGCTGCATTCAGGGCTTTCAATGCCACGATTCGCAATTCAGTCAAAACCACTTCAGAAATGTTGGTACGTCGAAGCAATTTCTTAGAGTCAAGAATTTCAGTACCGAGGTCGAGTGCCAGCTCATGCTCTTCTGCCTTCATGCTCAGCTTCAACAGTGTCTCCAAATCTCGACGATAGGATAAATGGTCGCTTGATGAACGAGCCGCAACACGGAAAAAGTTGTCTCGCCGTTTGGCCACTTTGCCATTCTTTTGATCGATTCCGGACGGTAGGATTCCAATGGACCACTCGCACCATTCTTTCACTATTGCTCTATCCGCACGGGCGGACTCGTTTCCTTGCTGTGGATGTAGTAACATTGAAAGATATTCATAATAATAGTCCATCAGCCAACTCTCATCCTCCGTCATTTGTAGTCTGGTGTCGGGTTTGTCAATGTTCAAGCAAGCTTTTCGCACTTGCCACGGCCGTAAATCTGGGTATGCGGAAACACACATGTTTCGAATTAGATCTCGACGTTTTGTATTCTCCTTGAATCGAAGACAGTTCAGTAACTCGATTACAGCTGAGAGCTTTCGCTGTTGTGGAAAAAAGACAAATGGGTGAGCAATACGTTCACTTTATTGACAACTAACAGCGATGCTGACAAAAAAAACAATGCTGAACTTACCATGTCATAAAATACCAAAGAACCAGCAGCCTTCATATGACGCATGGCTTCTCGATGAGTAGGGTCGCGCTTTGCCAATTTCAAGAGTTCCTTGATTGGAGTTGCAGCCTTGGCTGCAGCTGCCGAAGATAGACTCGTATGCAGCTGCAAGTATGCTCCATATTTCTGAATGAATGCTACTGCTTCTTTTTCGGCAGTCTTAATGTCTTTTTCTTCTCCATTCAGAAAGGGCTCGAGGAGGTTTTGCGTAAAGTAATACGTCACCAGAAAGCAGCTGTAGTGGGGTCAAGTCAGAAATCGCACCTGTCGATGCAGCAAATGACACAGTTTGAAATACTTACGTTTCTGATCTAGTTTCAATGTCCAACTCCTGATCCTCAATGATCTCACGGATATCTTTCGTTTTCGTTTTGGATTGCTTGCTGAGTAGACTTGGGGAAGAATCGAAACTATCATCCAGCGTCAAGTCATCGTCCTCCGAAGGAACCGTCCCACCCGGGACAGGAGTACCAGTATCCCGTGGCCACAAAACACGCCTTTGCTCCCAGGACAATGGTCGAAATGATTCTAGCCACACTGGCAGTGCTTGGTTGAGTAGGTACTGATTGGCGAGCAAAACGTTGGTCCGTCGGGCCGTCTTGGACTTTCCTCCTGAAACCAAACTGGACTGGAAGCTTTGGCTCACTGACGGTCCCAGAACTGTAATCTCGTCGGGTGCGGAAGTGGAAAGAATTGTCGTCAAATCAAACAGAACCGTGGTGATTTCTTCCGGTGGAATGACATAGGATCGTTTATTCTTTTTCTTCATTATTTTTGTCATGTTCTCGCCGAACAGAAAGGATCCAAGTTCCTTGGTAATTGCCGAGCTAATATCCGCTTGTTGAGCATCGTCGGGTGACTTTTCTTCTTCATCATTTTCTGTCTGTATCTTCTTTTCCATTTCCTTGATCGATTCTTCCAAAAATTGAATGACTTGCTTCTGCCAGACATCATCCCGTGCCGCCAAACCCAGTAACAACTCATCCCCATCCACCCCATCCAAGGATCCAGAACCATCTTGCGAGCCGTCGTCATCACTATCGTCTTCGATTGGAGTCTCCATTTCATTGGCCCTCCCTGACCGAAGAGAAACTGTATCCATGACGTATCGCCTGCGGGCACTTGCCGAACTTCGGAGACTGAAATTGCTACTCCAAATTTTGAAGGATCGTAGATCCTTGCCCTTGTCCATATCTTCCATGGTAAAGGATAATACTTTGGCAAGTTTCATGACTCTTCTTCCGAGCTCCGTCCTTTCCGTCTGTGTCAAGCCAGCGAATTGGTCGTCGTCCATTTGGTCCATCATTTGTACCGCCTTTTTCATGAGCGTGGAAACCCGTTCGGACCATTCAAAGAATTCACTGGTTAATCGTTCCGTGTCTTCTTTGGTTTCTGTCGCAATCGTCGATGCTATGATACTATTTGGGCTTTTCGACATCATGACATCGTTCTCTGGTGGTTCCTCGTCTTCTTCTTCGTCGTCGTCATCGTCCTCCCCGTCTTCTTCTTTGATCACTCCTGTCACTCCCTTTTTCTTTTCAAATTCTGGCAAATACGGTTGGGTGTATAGCAAAGGAGCTCCACTCAGCTGATCGGCCATTGGAAAGAGGGAAAACATTTCATTCGCCGGATCCAGCATTCCTTCAGTTTGTCCTAGCGCCATTTTCTTGAATTCTTCCTCCTCTTCGTGCTTCTGAAGGGCTTTGAGTCCGCTTTTGGAGGATTCGAATCGCAGTCGTAATACTTTTTGGTATCTACCATCCTTGCCTGGTGTACTAAGCGGACTCAATCCCCCCATGAGCTTGTCAATGGGCAATTGAAGTAAGGAAACATTGCCAATGGACAACAAAATGTCCCCTCGTTGAATTATTCCCGTGAGTTGAGCGGGCGACGCCCGACCATCGGCCAAAGTCGCCATTTTTTGGACAATGACTCGTCCACGCACAACGGTCAACTTCATACCAAGAGATACGTCTCCATACTCATCGTCCGAGTCGTCCGTATTACTACTTTTAGACGGTGTTCCTTTCCGAACGGCCCTCCGTATCAAGGTGGTTTCGTATTGATTCTTGGGCAGTGGTGGGAAAGTAGTCTTCTCAGATGGTTGGAGGTCATTGATGGGAGCGATTCGGACTTTTCTCCCTCTTTTCCGCGTTTTGTAGGATATCGAAGACATGGATTTGTTGTGACCACCGCTCCGTCGTTTGTTGCTGCTTTTTATCTTCTTTTGGTCGACTCCTTCTCCGTTGGCAGCCGCGTCCATTTCCAAAACTACCACGGGCTCATTCGTGTCTTCTTCTTCTTTTCGAATTACAGCAGCAGCAACAGCAGCAGCAACAGCAGCGTCACCTACTTCCTGTGGCAAATGGGTGGCACTCTGCGGATTCGACACTTCATCGTCCTCATTTTCATTATTTTCATTAGTGCCGTCCTCTTGGATGGTAGCTGGACTTGTGCTCTCCGTTTCCGGCATCCTTTGATCCAAGGAGGAATTTTGAGTAGTGTTGGCTTTCACGGGAGTATCCGCCTCATGGCTGTCCATACTATTGCTATGATGGATCTAATTATTGGGAAGGAGGTTCAAACTCCGAAACAACGAGGGTGAAATATGATGTCGACAACCGCGGAACCGGCCGACAATGATAAAACGCCTAACTAAGTACGTTATGACACCTCCGATTAAAAAATACAACAAGAACTACCGCATGCCCTTTCTTCTGGTCGAATAAAATAAAGAGACGTTAGAAAAACGAACAACATTGAAAATGGGACTTCTTGATTCATTCCTTCATTTCTTCCTTCCATTCTCCGTTGCTCATCAATTTACACTACTGCAGCACTAGAAGACGCAACTTAACAGTGACACAAATACTATGGACACAGCCTTGCTGGTGGCTTCCGCGTCACTTTCCGTCTACATTCCAGGATGCCGCATGTCCAACTTGCATCACCAACGTTCCGAGTTGATTTCCAAATGCATCGCCATTGCCTTGTGCCTTGGTTTGTTTAGTTTGACAATCTTGGAAGCTGTTCCCGACTCACTTTTGACATGGTTATCAACAGATCATGAGACGGCATCGGTTTGGAGTATTGCGCATGCTTATTGGATTCTACTTTGGTGTTTGGTCATTTTGATTTTGGTGGTTTTGCCTTCCTTGATGGGGATTTCACTGGCATATACGTTGTCTACTTCCTTCCGCTACTATTTCTTTACTACTGCTAGTAGTACTGGTGGTGGAGAGAAAGATCCTTTTGGATTGGATCGATGTTGTCCTTGGTGGCTCAAGCTGATATTGCACATGATCAAGGGTATTTTCAGAAGATTTTTTCGATTGCTGTGTCGAGGAGTTGCCACCTTTTGTCCGTCTCGCCGTCCTTCATCCAAGAGATCCAGCAATGTCATTTTACCAATGACAATGACATCAAATAACAAGAGTAGTGAAAGTCTGGCAAGTTTGACGGGGGACAACAACCGAAGCTTGCCTGTTGTCAACACTACCATTACCACTACCACTACTGCTGCTTCTATCGGCGCCACCCTGCTGGGTGGTTTGGGTGGAATCCTCGTGGCACTCTTGGCCCTTCGAACCTTGGGACCCTTGGTGGTGCAACCAACATTGGATGATCATAATGCATTGCCCTTGGCCGTCTCGTGGCTATGTGGCTGGGGTCTATTAGTCTCTTCCATTCTCAATGGATTTGGAAGTGTTTCCATGCCGCATGCATCTTTGACGGGACTTTACTTGAAACCAGTTCCGCCGGAAGTCATTGCCAAGTTGCAAGCCGAACGAGAAAGCGTCAGACAAACATTGGAATCCAAGCGTCAGAGCCTGAAGGAAGTCAATGTGACAATCCCGTCGGCCACCTCCTCTGGAAATGTCTTTTCGCCAAAGACCACCAAAACCACCTTTTCCAACATGGGCGACGAACTTTCCAATCGTCGCAACATTTTGCAAACCGAGATTGACTTTTTGGAAAATTTGTGCCACGAAATGGCCGAGGACATTGACGAACTGAAATATACACAAATACAGGCTGCAGCGGCCCGGACCACCATGGGTCGCATCCGATTTTCGGTGGGGGTCGTCTTTTCCATTATTTTGTTGATTCGGTTATTCTCGGCGGCGCTCAATATTTGGAGGAGTTACACTCAGAATATGGACCGCCAAAAACATTCGCAACCCGATTTGGTGACCTCCATTCTTGCCTTATTATTGGGTCACAACCTCGTGTCTTCGGAAAAGATTACCATGTTGTCTCAAGTGATTTCACTGGCATTAACAGCCTTTCTGTCCTTCAGTCAAGTTCGGACATTTGTCAAGACAATGCATGTAGTGAATCGCAAACTGAATGGATTCTGTTCCAATGTTGTGTGTAGTACCAACCGACGAACAACAAAGCAACAACAACTAGAGGAACAAAAGAGCAGGAGTCATCATGCTGAACAAAATGGTGCCTTGTCATTATATGGGGGAGCCATGGGGTACTTGGCGATTCTAACTGGATGTTGTTATACCTTGACATGTATTGTTTCAATCAAGACCATGTTGCCCGATGAGTATTGCGTTGGGTTCGCCAAGGCCTTGGGAGGGTCCATGGACGTATTTACCATTCATACAGCAATGGTCAATGAGGTCTTTGCCACTTCGGCTGCCATCAGTGCGTCCGTTTTGGGTGTCTTGTTTGGGATTCAGCGGGACAATAACTTTCGGCATACTTCGACATCGACGTCGTCGTCGTCGTCAAAAGCCATTACCATGAATGGGACGTCCAGCACGACGTCCAGCACCAACAAGTATCGGGGTGCGGAAGCTTGCTAATTGGCGAGCTGGCCTGTGGGGGGAGGGGAGGGGAGCAATGGTGGAGCTCAAGGGGTTATTGAGGGTTCCATGCCATTGTAGAATAACACGAAACTATGTAGTAAGAAATAGTGAAGCTTTTTTTGTTCGGTTTGAATTAAAGGTCGTTCCTCTGGACTAATCTGACTAATCCAATAGCACTAAGATAGTCCCATCTCTATATTTTATGGATTTCGATGGAACATCTTGGATGTTCACTCTCCTTTTGACAGAAAACCGGATGACGATGACGGAACCTACCAGCACTTCTTGCGACTTTTGTGCATATCATTCATTCTACTGCACATAAGTCACATGAAGCTTCCGAACCCTGTTTCCATGGCTACAGCAGCCTGTAGTGCGTATCAGGCACGCATTTCGTCACTTGCTGCCTCGATTACTCCAAGAGTTTTGCTGTCGTCCAGTGGAACTGGCAACTATGGAGAGTCTGGAAAGGCTGACTTTTACACGATTGATGAACTGCCGATGGCACTACCAAAAGAGGACTCGTCATTCAATAAAGAAGAACTCCAACGGGTTGATATAGAGCTGGGACCCGATCGACAAGCTTTTGTTATTGACAATGTGTTGACGCCGGAAGAATCGGATGCTCTGGCGGCTTGTGCTGAGGCAATCCTCGATTCGAATGGGCATTCCAGAGTGGCTCCCGGCATTCGTACTCCTCCTGGCATGCGTATCAACGAAGCCGCTCATTGGTTCCCGCCCCTTGAATCATCATCCTTTCTAGCCGCCATTTATCATCGGATAGAACATTTAGTTCCAAAGTCCGTGGAGGGTCCTTCTGGACGACAAATCCCACTGTACAAAGAACTCAATGGAAGGGTTGCACACTACAAATATAACAAGGGAGATCAATTCAACCGTCACATTGATGGCCTTTTTCCAGGGCAGGGTGCCAACCCAGAAGGCAATGGTGTGGATGACTGGACGGGTGTTGTTTCAGGGTTTTCTCTTATCTTTTATTTGAACGACTTGGAGGACGGATTGGAGGGTGGTGAAACTCGACTGTGGTCCAGGGATGGTTCTGTATACAAAGATATTACACCGCGTAAGGGAAGAGTACTAGCATTCCGTCGTGGGAGTCACGATGCGGTCCTCCATGCTGGTTTGCAAGTGACTGGAGATGTCCCAAAGTACATGGCACTCATTTATCTCATGTATGGTGAACGAACTGGTACACGGCCCATGATGCACTAACACGAAACGAAGTATAGTAGAAGTTAAAAGTCTATCATGTGCGTAGTTACAATAGATTAATGAGCACCAAACTTTCTGGCAAGAACAGTAGGGAGTATTGTTTCTCACACGATCTGTGGTATTCTCTTGTTAGCTGGGATTCTCTTCATTTCATTTCATCCACTTTGATTGGTGGTCGACTACTTCGATTTGTTGAGACAGCTGACATCGTTCATGCAGTCTTCGCATCGGATCTTCAAATATCCGCGCTTGTTCAACGAGTTGTTGTTCGGTATCTTTGCACAAGACAATAATAACATCCTATCACCCCCACCACACACACACTGCCATGATATTTTCTCTGAAGCCATTGAATATTCTTCTACTTCTTGCTGCCTCGGCATCCGCATTCACTCCAACAGCAGGTACTGTTGAAAAACAAACACAGTCGTCCTCCACCAGCCTCTTGGCGTTTGACTCCGAACTGGGAGCCCAAGCACCACTAGGGTTCTTCGATCCCTTGGGACTCTTGGAAGATGCCGACGCCGAGCGTTTTGAACGTTTGCGTTATGTGGAATTGAAGCATGGACGCATTAGCATGTTGGCTGTTTTGGGACACATGTTTACGACTGGTGGACTTCGTCTCCCAGGAGATATTGACTATCATGGAACTTCCTTTGCTTCCATTCCTTCTGGAATTGCCGGTCTCTCCAAGATTCCAGGAGCCGGTTTGGCTCAAATCTTTGCCTTTGTAGGTTTCTTGGAATTGGTGGTCATGAAGGATGTCACTGGTGAAGCCGAATTTCCTGGTGACTTTCGCAACGGGGCTCTTGATTTTGGATGGGATGTCTTTTCGGTAGACGAACAAAATCGCAAGCGAGCCATTGAATTGAACAATGGTAGAGCCGCCATGATGGGAATCTTGGGTTTGATGGTCCATGAAATGCTCGACAACAACCCATATGTCATTAACTCACTGGTTGGAGCACCCATTGACTTTAACGCTGGTCTGTAATGGGAATTGTGGGAAAGTGAGGAATGAGAATGATACATACTGGATTGTGTAACAAAGAAATAGACTTCCATTTAAGAGTGATGTTGAAACAAAAGTTGTTCCAGGTTACTAGTTATATTACAAAGTCCTGCTTTTTAAACCCTACTCTTAGTAATCTTGTGTGTACTATCTTCCAGTCGCATCCCTGTTTGTCATTTCTATTATTAGTAGTAGTAGTAGTAATATATAGTAGAGTCTTCCCACATTGCAATACATCATACTCATGGTGGTGTCACACACGGCCCATCAAATCCTTGTGCCGTCAATCCACCATCCACACCCAAGACTTGGCCTGTGATATAACTGGATGCTGGCAGACACAAGAAAACTATTGGATTGGCCACTTCGGAAGGATCCGCCAATCGATGCATCGGTGTCCACTCTTGGACCTTGTCCAATTGCGTGGGATTCGCCTTGACAGCTTCTTTCAACATGGGTGTCATGGTCATCCAGGGGGTGACCGCATTGACTCTAATGTTGCGTGCAGCCCATTCGCAGGCCAAAATCTTGGTCATTTGATTAATGGCTGCCTTGGACATGCCATAGGCGGCCCCCGTGCCGGAGGATTGAACCCCCGCGGCCGAGGAAACATTGACAATGGTCGACCCTGACTGCAAGAGACTGGAGAAGGATTGGCACAAAAAGTAGGCGGAATCGACATTGGTGCGCATCATGGAGTGAAACTCTTCCGGAGTTTGTTCCACGAATGGTTTGCGAATATTGATTCCAACATTGTTGATCAATCCGTCGATGGGTTTCCCACCAAAGACCGTTTTGGCTTCGTCCACCAAGGATTGTCGACCATCGGAAGTGGCCACATCGACGGCAGTGTGATATAGGTTGGAATCAGGATAGCTGGTCTGGAGTTCCTTCAACAATTCATCACAGGGACTGCGGGAGCAGAACAACACTCCAGCAGCGCCAGTGGCACACAGTGCTTTGACAGTCGCCAACCCAATGCCATTGCTTCCTCCCGTCACCACATAATTTCTAGATTGGAGGGTCCATCCCTTCTGAATTTGTTCTCGTTCGGATGCCATCGCAAGCGCGTTGAATCTTTCTTGTTGTAGTGTTGTGTATGATAAAGAGTATTGTTGAATCTCGGCTTTGTATCTGTCACCGTTCGATTTTGTGTTGCTTGGGCTGTGTGGTACAGTTTATCTTCGATGATGACACAATATAGAGCTTCTTCGGTCACATGTTCATTTTCTCATCTTTTCTGATCTTATCCGATCTTCTTGACTCGATCGACCTCAATGACCCGGTCGACTGCAGAATGAATGACATCAACACGCAACCGAACCCCAAATCTCAAAATCTGTATCGGTACCAGTACACTGTAGCATTGAGTTGTCATCGACAACTCTATCTATTGCAACTATGATGTTCACTCGTAAAGTTGCAAGGAAAAGTACCAGGCAACTGAGAAGAAATTGCCGTCACTTGCAGTCAAGTATTGTTTCCACAAGATCCGTGTCGTCAACTCCTCAACAACAACAACAACAAGATCATGGGACAGATAATAATACTACAAAGGTGGTGAAAGAATTGCCATGGCAGTATCTACGAGCATCCGATCCTTCCAACTACGACAACGAAACATATCAAAGAACAGACGTTGTCTACAACATGGAAAATGGCAAACCCAGTTTGGATCAACAGACGGATCTTTCAAACAAACCTTCCTTGCAGCAGGTTGACATTGACGACGACAAGACTGCTGCCCCATCCTATCAGCTACAATGGAGCGATGGAACACGATCCGATCATCCCATTGCTTCTTTACAAGATGAATATAATCGATGGCAACATAGAAGTCCAGAAACTCGGGTCTTGTGGTCGAGATTGACGGAAGGCGACCTTCGAGGAACAGATTCCCCAATGACCATATCATACAACGAACTAGTACAATCAGATCAAGGCATGAAGTTTGGCCTCCAGACTCTTTATCAGTACGGTATCTTGCTGGTAACGGAGACGCCTCTTCCAGATAGCAATAATGCTGAGGATGATGGAGCTGGCATTGCGGCATTGGGCGCTGCCTTGGGAGGCGGCAAGAAGAAAACCCTTGCTTCCAATTCGGTGTTGGTCAATTACAAAGGAGGCGAAACCGATATTAGTCTCCCCCATGCTACCGATGGTCCTCTTCGGACATTGTATGGGACCGTCTGGTCCACAGTCTCGGAAGGCCAAACGGATGGGGCCAGCGTGGCCGATTCGGCCTATGGTCAAGATGCCTTGCCCTTGCACACGGACATGACCTATCTTCGAGATCCACCAGGTTTGCAAATCTTTACTATGGTACAGCCAGCCAAACAGGGTGGTGACTCCATCTTTGGAGATGGATTTGCAATGGCCCAGCAATTGCGAGAATCCAATCCAAAAGCCTTCGAAGTATTGAGCCAAACGGTGCGACGGTATCGGTGCAAGGACGATGCTGCGGGATGGCATTTGGAAGCATGGGGGCCTGTCATTCAATTGTGTCCTAGGGGTCATGAAATTGTTGGTATTCGGCATAATGATCTGGATCGTCTTCCCGACTTGCCACCAAATGATGATATGAGAGGGGAGGAAGAAGTGAATGCCTTTTATGAGGAATTGTTTGAGGCTCACAAGGCGTGGGACGCTTTGTTGGCCAAGGATGAATCTCGACTAGTCATCAAGTTACAACCTGGTGAAACCATGGTAGTAGCCAATCAGGTGAGTAGGGTAGGAATACCCACCAATTTGTTGTCTCCTTGTTCTTATGATAGCTATCTGTCCGTGTGCACTCACCAACTCTGCTGCTGCTGTTTTTTTTACTTATATATTTCCTAGCGATGTATGCACGGCCGATATAGCTTTACATCTGATTCAGATCATCCTAGATCGGTAATGGGTTGCTATATTGGTCAAGATGAATTATATTCGCGCATGAGAATGGAGGGTTTGTACTTGCATTGAAATTTTGCCAAAGATTTTCACACGGTACACGGACGGACTGTAGTTTGTTGAATGACAGACTGATGGAAAGTGGTGCGACCTGAAGATTCGAACTACGTAGCTTATGGTAGACATTGTACATGGGACCAGCAGAGCCCAAACAAATGAGGACGCACGACAATATTGTAGGGTGCGCGCTGATAGGTATTGTACAATAGTCAAAGATCTTGACATCAATCATTGATAACATACTGGATTGTTGTTCTAGAACCAAAAAGGGATATTGAAGTTATTCATTAGTCAACTATCTCTATCCTTTTTCAGCAAAGTCAAGATCTTTGTTCATAGTTTTGGAGCGATCTTTGACATCACATTGTTGGTGGTGCGTGTCTCATACACATCACTTACGCAACACATCACTTGCGTACGCAAGGCGTTAGAGTCTTTCATATCTTGTGTTGGTTTTCACCACAAACAGTACAGTAGGTAGTGTAAGTTATAGGACACCAAAGGGAGACGGTAACTGGGTGGTGTGGCAACTGTTTAGAAGAAACACAACCAATAACATGCCCAGCAGCCGATCATCCCGAGGGAGACGGGGCACCAGCAGCAGCCCAGCCACCCCAGAACCTTCCACCTACGAAGAAATCATGGGAATTGTGGCAGAAGGAGAAAGGTCTTCTGGAGGTGCGGATGCCCTGTCGTCTCGATTGATTTCCTTTCGCAAATGGGTTGTGGAGGATGCCAAGATGACAGTTCATCCTTCCGTCTGCATTGTCAATGGTGAGGCCACGGATGGGACCAAAAATGCTCCTGTCCTCTTGTTTGGTCCTCCACCTGGCTTGGAACCAGTAGTACGGAGTTCCGGAGAAGGACGCGTGGGGGGAGTGGACGGTGAAGCCGATCGAGCCTTGTATGAACGGACGATTGGGTGTCAGGTCCGAACGGCAAAACTCATCAACGAGCAAGAGGTCATGATGACTTGTCCGAGAATGGCCATGATTACGCCAGATGTTGTGGCAGCGAGTGATGCGGGGAGGGCCATTTTGGGATGCTGTAAACCATTAGTAAAGCAGCAAGGGGACAATGATGATATGGAGGGTTCAGGGAATGCTAATTTTTGGGACGTCTTTGAAAATACCACCGTGTGCGAGGACAAGTTTGCGCAAAAGGTGGCACGGAGTGCGGGACCGCAATTGGTGATCAAGATATTGCAGGAACGGAAACGAGCGGAAAGCGTCTTTCTAAAGGCACAAAGAGATAGCAACGGTGGTGATGGAGAAAATAATGGTGACACAAAAGAGCACAAACTGATTGAGCCCGGAGTCCTATCCACGCGAGCACCGTTGTTGGCCTTTCTCATTCACCAGCGGTTTTCATCGCGATTGAACCCACCTGTGTTTTCGGAGAATCAAAAGGATTTCGAGGCCATTGCGGAAGAGACGGCGCTGAAACGGGCGACACCAGTCAGTAGACCAGAAGATGCACCAGGTTCCTTTGCTCCTTATGCTCGAACACTTCCATCCTCCGTATCATTACCGATCTGCTGGAAACGAAACGAACTGGCGCTGTTATCGGGATGCATCACAGGGATTCCACCGCTTCAGGAAGTAACGTCCACTACGCTTCAGTTGGCGGCAGAGTTTGTGGCGCTGATCGAGGCAGGAGTCTTGGAAAAATTTCCCTCCATTTTCCCACCCGGTCTTATTACTTGGGAACGCTGGGTTTGGGCGGCAGCGGTCTACACGTCTCGTGCGCTGCCAGTGTCTTGCTATCTGAATGAAGGGGAAGTGAATGCAGTTGCACACAAACCTGAAAATGAGAGTGACATGCAATCACCACGGGAAACATGGGATGAGTTGGGTGTCATGATACCACTCTTGGATATGCTGAATCACGAAGTGGATTCGCATGCGGTCACCTGGCAACAACAGGTGAGCGAGGGATCCAGCGTGACCGATGATGGTGAGAATGCAAATACTACCAGCGAGCCGCACCCTCCAAGGGTTGTGATGAACAAAAAGGTCCGCAAAGGTCAACAAATCTATACCAACTATGGGGCAGACAAAAGCAATCAAATATTGATATTGCAATATGGATTTGCCTTGCTTGCAAATACATCTGATGAGGCCCGCTTGGGGTGGGGCTTGATGGATGCGATTGGAAAGGTCGCTGGACCTGCTGACTACAAGCCCCTCATTGAGATTGTGAACAAAGACGAAGCTTATCAGGTCTTTGAGTCCCTGGAATCACAGGCGGTCAATGAATGGTGGTCTGACGAGCGACTGAAACTACTGGAAAGCGAAGCATTTTCAGCTGTGGGAGATTCCTTCATGTCATCGCTTAAGCTGGGAAAGAAAATGACGGGGACAGCCTACGGGGATGGGACTTATGATCCAACTTTGTTGACGGCAGCACTCATTGGGACCATGCCAACACCCGAACTCAAAGTACACATGGCCAAATTGAAACAGCTGCAGGCTTCTGGTGAGACGATGCGTGTTCCTGTGGAGGTGACCCAGCGGCACCAACGGGTATTGCGCAGCTATTTGCTCTTTGTGTTCACACGCAAGCTGGAAAAGCTGCTAGAAAATTTGTTCAATGGACTCAAGGGGCACTTTGGAACCTTCCAACTTTGGACCAAGGCTTCCAAGGGTGGAATTCGGTACCAAAACGAAGAAAACGCGGGGGTGGATGGTGGTAACATGATTGGATGGCAACAATTCTTTGATGAGAATGCATATGCAGCAACTATGGAAGTGGAGAAGCGGTACTATGCAATTGGTCCGGAGAGCTGTGTACTAACCTTTTACGATGGACAACTGCAAGCCTTGCAAAATTCTATCGATGGTGTCGCTAGTGCTGAAAAGTTTGAAAACTCTGTGCTGAAGCAACTGGCTGACTTAGACTTTGTCATTGTGAAGAGTGATGATCCTATTCCCGATGTGGAAGCCGCAGCAGAATCACAAAAGATGGACGTGGACAAATCCAACAAAACAAAACAGGGCGATACGACGACACCCAATGGTGGGGGGAAAGACGCGGCTGGCAAAAGAGAAAAAGGAGACCAAAAGAAGTCGAATGATAAATCGAACCGACAGCAAAAGGACGACGGGAAGAAGGACGACGGGAAGAAGGACGGAAAATCACCATCAAAATCATCACGCCGCCGCAATCGTAGGGGGAAGAACAACGAAGGGAGGGGCGGAATGGACCGAGCACCGGTTACAAAGCTTCATATTGGAAATTTGGCATATTCGACAAATCCTGCCGATCTGTACGAGTTCTTCTCCATGAGATATGGTAGAGAAAGCGTCTTGGAGTGCCACATTCCCACCGAGCGTGAAAGTGGCAAATCTAGAGGATTTGGATTTGTGACGCTTCCAGACAACGTCGCACGTCGCATTCTGTCTGCCGGGAAAATGGAACTAGACGGTCGAGTTCTACGGATCGCAGAAAGTAACTCCACCGGCACGAACAGAGGGAATGGTAGATTCCCTCCCGTTCCACCGCCACCACCTCCACCGCCATTGGCGGGTGATCGTTGCAGCAATTGTGGCTATCGTCCAAAGTATTGCGAGTGTGCCGCACCAAGTTTTCCGTCACAAAATCAACCCAACCCGGGACATATGGATGGTTCGTATGGGCGAGATTTTGAGTACTTTGGTCCCAGCAACGAACGCAGTCGCAGAGACCGCGGCCGCAGCCGAAGCCGATCATCAGGGTATTATGGACGGGGACGACGAAGCTCTCGAGATGATTACGACAGGCATTACTCTCGCAGTAGGAGCCGACGGTACTCTCGGAGCAGATCAAGAAGCTACAGCCGAAGTCCAAGCAGAGAACGTAGTCGAAGCAGACATCGTCGACGACGTGATTATTCTCGAGATCGATCTCGCTCTCGCTCTCGCAGTTGGTCAAGGGGTAGATCACGATCGCGTAGTTATTCGAGGGATAGATCTCCGGCACGGTCAAGGGACAAGGGGCGGGATCGGTCAAGAGATCGATCCCGTGATCGGTCTGTGTCACGAGAAAGATCTAGGGATAGATCTGATCGATCCCGAGACCGTCGTAGGAGAGGCTACGGGTCTAAACGCAGTCGGAGTGCAAGCCCGACTCACTCTCGCAAAGATCGCATGAGCGACGCAGCTAATGGTGGCGAAGCTCCACAGGACAACAATAGCGAAGATGGTATAGAGCCCAACGATGCTGTGGAATCGAGACCTCAAGATTCTCGACGAAGGCGCAGTCGGAGCCGGGACCGTGGAAGAAACCGAAAGAGAAGAAAAAAGAGTCGCCATGTCCGCAGTAGAAGCCGCTCTGCTAGCCCTGCCAAATAAAGCAAATGAGTCGTCATCCCTACTTTGGTCAAACTAGTTGATGTTAATGCTATCTAGCCAAACATTTTCCTCGGAAGCTGAAGACTTTTGATTCGTTAGAAATGAACAGGAGGCATGTCATCTACTGTGGCCTCTTCAATGCGCGTGCGTTATTCCTTCAGTAGAGAGTGGTGTCTACTGAGGACCCCGCCCACTTTTGCATGGCAGCAATCAGATTGAGTGCAAACTCTTTGTTCGGCAACCTTTTCAAGCTGTTTCTAGTTCCTCTTCTTCTTCTTTGCGTTGCGTTTGCCACTGTGCGACGGCGTTTGATCGAGTATTCATACCATCAATACTCCCAAGACGATTCATTTCCTCATGCAATTTGCGTTCGTAGCTCTCTTCTGGCGATCGCAGCAAGGTCTCTTCCGAAAGATGTTCATAGGCCGCATTCAAAATCAACTCGGAAACAGGAGGCTGACCCTCGATAGTTTTCCCTTCGGCCTTCATCTTTTTGGGGATACCTGCAATTTGATCCAATGCGATGCGGTACCGTTTAGAATTGGACTCGCCTGTGAACAAATGAGTAATTGCCTTGATGATGAATCGTCGAATTTTGGTGGGATCACCATTCATTTCTTCAGCGTCGGCATGCTTTCCATATGCTTGGAGTACTTCCAACCGATTTTTTGGAGCATGGGAATCATTATAGAGCACTCTATCGGTCATGGCAAAACTCCATGGATCGGCTGCCCATGCTCGCCCAATCATCACCCCTGCTAAATCTGGACAGGCCTCAAACTCTTGTTGGGCTTGTACCACAGACTCCACACCACCATTAATGGAAAAAGACAATTCTGGATAATCGTGAACAAGTCTTCGGACAAGATTGTACTTCAAAGGAGGCACCTTTCGGTTATCAGCAGGAGAAAAGGACTTTTGAAGCACAGCAATACGAGCATGGACTTGAAAGTCAGTCACTATGCCACCACCAGCAATGGTCTCAATGAACTCGCACAGTCTTCGGTACTCCACTTCCTCGTCCGCTTGTGCATATCCTGCCTTTGTGAATGCTTCTTGAGAATCAGTGCCGATTCGGCACTTGACTGTAATAGGCATGGTTCCGGAAGTACCATCGTGCAAGGCGCGAGTCAACTCTTCTACCAGTTTTGGCTCATCCATCAAGGCAGCACCGAAGCATCCCTTGCCAGCAACTTTGGGCGACGGACACCCACAGTTCAAATTAATAGCCGTATAGTCGCACCATCCACGCTTTTCCATATCCATGACCACTTCAGCTGCTTCGTACATTTGTTTTGGATCACTTCCCCCGAGTTGCAGCACCGAGGCTCCCTCTAGTGGGTCCACCTTGCCTTGTTTCAGGTAGCGTTGCAAATATTGATCGGAATAGTTCTCTTGTACCTCTTCCTCGGTTGCTAGGGCATTGTTTGTACGATACTCTTCTACTTGATTCCGTCTCTCGTGACAAAGGGCATTTGCAGCCACCATTTCGGTATACAACAGGGTCTTTTTCGAAACCAGACGAACCAAGTGACGAAAGTGTCGATCAGTGTATTCCATCATGGGAGCTAGTGATAGCTTGGTAGCATCCATGAGCTGATCGTGTCTGGTAGCTTGAATGCCCTCACCGTTGGTGGAGTCGGAAGTAGATTGGAGTGAAGAGAACGACCACCGTTCTCGTTCAAGGACGGCACTTGTACTTCGACACCTTTTCGACGCTAGTGTGCCTGCAACCCGAAGTGGTCGCAATTGGATTAGGGCATATGCTTTCATCGTCAAGCAGAAAAATAAGGCGATTCCAAAGGGAAGCAACTTCATTGGGGGTGCATCCAAAGGGTAGTAGGTTTGCGTACAAAGAAATGAAGATGAAGAAACGCGAAATATTTCTTAGGAATACGAGTATACTCGTAGTATGAGATGATGTGTCCAAAACTGACGGCTGTCGCACGACAGACAATAGATGAGCTGATGAAGCTTTTTCTTACTGACGGTTGTACAGTAGGTGCTATACATTCCCAAAAACACTGAAAGGAGCTGAAGAAAATTCAAGATCTCAGATTTGGATGCAAGACGAAGCTATTTTATAAAATTCCAATGACCCCAAGATGCAGAAGCTTTGCTCTAAATGCCTGCTCCACCTTGTCGCGCCATGTGTTGATAAAATCTCTTGTCTTCTTCTGTAGCCAGTCGTTTCTTTACGACTCCATCCTCGTATTTCTTTCGTTTTCTATCATTCAACTTGAGCTGCTCCAGCTTTTCTTCATAGGTCGTCCCAAAGGATCGACTCATTAGAGGAATATGAATATGGGTGTCGAGTGCACCAGGATCTGCAACTAGGCCCATTCTGTTGTCCATCCACAAGAGGGCCTCTTCCCATTTGACGAGGGGAGAGTCACTCAACTGGTCCCAGTCAAGGGTACTCTCATTACCTCCAGAGTAGCTCTTGCCTACACGCTCCAATTTCTTCTGGCGTTCAGCTGCTCTATTCTTGGCAAAGTCTTCAACGTCTGCCTTTTGCACTTCGACATCTCGTAAGCTATCCAGACAATTACGAATCTGATTGGCAGCCAACATCAAGTCTTCCCATTCTTTCTCCAGTTGGCAAGTCGTCGTCCAGAGATTTGGTACAGAATAACCAATCTTAAGGTTGGGATAGCCGCAATCGTGTAGAACCAATGGTGTGTCTTCTGCGAGTCGATAGCTAGGTTTTCCAGGATACTTTGTCACATTGAGTAGTTCTGGAACGATATCTGCCTTTTCCAGTCCTCTTCCAATCATGAAAAGGACTGCCATTATGTATCGAATCTGATGCCATAGAAACGCCTGCCCGTGAATTTGAACATAGCAAATGCCGTTCCCAAGTTCCGCTAGTTTTGCATCATAGATATGGCGCTCAAAATTGTACACCTTCTCCACATCCATCTTGCAAAAGTTTCTAAAGTCATGCTTTCCAACCATGAAGGCGAGGCCTTCTCGTATTCTTTCTAGATTCATTTGTCGTTTGGCAAAGAAGTATCGGTAGGTTCTTGAACTGCAAGAGAACCGAGCAGAAAACTCGTCGGACACCGGTGACCATCCAAGAATTCGAATCTTTACAGGAAGAAGATTGTTCAAGATCTTCGAGTAGGCATATTCTGCAATCTCTTTCTGAACCCGTGGGGCTGAAGTGTCCACTTGTTTCTTCTTCCTTGGGTAAACCCAAGCGCTAATCTTTGAAAACTCGTTCTTTGGCAACTCCTCGTTTGGAACTGGCTTGGTACCCTCTTGGTCAAAGGTCGCATATGCAGGAATGCTACTCTTGAGTCGAAGGGCCACAACTTGTCCAACGGAACTTACACCCCGATCTGTGCGTCCACACCGAGAGTACCCACAGGAGTCTCTGGAATCCACCAACCGTGCTTTGATGAGTGCCTGAAAGAGTTCCTTTTCAATGGAATTGTCGGTATCCTGTCCCAAATTCTGGGATAAACCATTGTAGTCAGCTCCATCGTAATAAAACCGAAGCGCAACATGGCGAGTGCGTTGCTCTATCGCTGGAGCATGAGTATTCCTTGGTGGTGACGTGTTTGGCGGATTGGAGGCCGTCTTCTGAGAGACTTTTTCCACTGCCAATCGGACAGTGTCTTCAGACAACCGTTTCGTTTTCAACAAATAATTTAGAATGTCTGCTGAGGAAGCTTGGGAATCTCCATCAATCTTCAGCTCTTTCAGAACCGCATGCTTGGTGTGGCTCATGGTAGGACCATGTTGTGAAGAAAGTGATGGTTCAGAAAGAAGGCTTATTGGTACTTGTATAGTCGTACATGAAGTCAACGTGGTCGAAAATTCCGCCGTTAAAAGTTTTGAAAATGACAGTAGAGCAGGAGTCACGCCAATCACTGAGCTGCTGTTGTTGTTGACGTTGTTGACCCAAACCTTTTCGAGCAAGATGATGAAAGATGACGATGATGTTGAGGTACAAGGAGAAGTTGAAGGCCAACTAATTCCAGAAAAGTCGTCTACTGGCGTCGCCAAGAAGCGTGGTACAACTGCCAAAAAGTTGAAGGCTCGAGACCCTGCCAAACGAACATTGCGACGGAAAAAGACGGAGTCTTCTACCGAAAAGCTTATCAAATACTCTGCTCTGTTCTTATTGGTGGCTCAAATGGTGGGATTGGTTCTGCTAATGAGATACTCTAGACTTAGTCATTCAGACGGAGAACCAATGTACCTGGCATCGACGGCCGTATTCATTATGGAAGTCATGAAGCTTGTCATTTGCTGCATGGTGATTGCCTATCAATCATCAGGAAGTCTACTTTCAGAGCTCAACGCGCATGTGATTGGAGCCCCTATGGAACTGCTAAAGCTCAGTGTTCCCTCATTCCTTTATTGTATTCAAAACAATCTCTTGTACCTCGCATTGACAAACTTGGATGCAGCTACTTATCAGGTTTGCTACCAGCTCAAGATTTTGACCACTGCGGTTTTTAGTGCCATTCTTCTTCAAAGAAAGTTTTCTGCAAAGAAGTGGGCGGCTCTTGTTCTATTGACCATTGGAGTATCGGTAGTACAAGTATCAGGAAGTACGAGTGAATCGAACAAGGAAGAATCTCAGCAACGTTTTGTTGGTTTGATTGCTGTTCTCTGTGCGGCTTGTACCTCTGGATTCTCTGGAGTCTACTTTGAAAGGATTTTAAAGGGGAGTCAAACTAGCCTTTGGATTCGTAACGTTCAAATGGGACTCCCGTCAGTTCTTGTCGCTTTTCTGACCATTTATGTGAAAGATGCAGCACTTGTGGCCAAGCAAGGCTTTTTTGGGGGATACTCGCCAATTGTATGGACAGTGGTGACGGTGCAGGCTGTGGGTGGTCTCATTGTTGCTGTTGTTGTGAAGTATGCTGACAACGTGCTCAAGGTCTTTGCTACATCCTTCAGCATTGTTGTATCCTGCATTTTGTCAGCAATCTTTTTTGATTTTCATGCTTCCGCCGGATTTCTTGTGGGAGCTTCCTTTGTCATTGTTGCAACGGTACTCTATTCGCAACCAGAAAAAAAGAAAAGGAGAAAACCAGTCCTACCTACTACAGTCAAGAAATAGATATTCGAAGTGGTATTTTTTATTTTTTAGGAGTATTGTATGTTTTAGATACATGAAAGTCTCTAGTCCTAACTTGAAGAGAATGTGCCATGTCGTTCTGTGTAGCGTGTCAATAATTGCAAAACTCGCTTGTTCTGCACTCTCTTTGAGTCAAGCTTGACGTCGTAAGCACCATCAGTTGTAATCTCCTCAATCTTGATGTCGCCCAAAAGCTCGGGAACATGAAGCTTGCCCTCACCAATCTCTTTGCATGCCATAAGCAAGTCATGGCTGAATCAAGAATAATAATAGTGTTAAACGGTTAGCTCAGTTTTTGTAGCAAGCAGAATCAGAATCAAAGTCATAAAGCACTTACGCAATCGAATCGGTAACAACAGAGTCGCCCTTGTAGTCGGGGTGGCTGCGAATGTAGTTTCTCATCCAGGTTGCTGGCGTGACAAGCTCTCCAGTTGCACGGCGCTCAATAAAGCCCAAATATTGTGTCATCTTTGCCAATGTGACAGAATCGCAGTTGATATGGTCCAAGTATGCTCGCACAAGGGGGATCAAGCCTGGGAAGTAATCACCCTTACCAGTCATGATTTCACTCATGGTCATTTCTTCAAAAGCATTTTCTTCATCTTCTTCATCAGCGTTGGGAGCCGTTTTCCTTTGCTGGCTTACACCATTCGCATCAAATTCCTTTTCTGGTATGTCATCATCGACTTCGCCCGTTACTGCCTTCGAAAACATAGAGACATACTTCACCCCGTACCCATCATCTCCTTCTTCAAGTGGAGCCATGTGACGGCGGAAGAAGAACTTACCCTTGGCAGAGGCATCTCGGCTGTGTGCGCGTTGCATGTTTGCATCCACCTTACTGATAGGAATATACAAGTTCAAATCGAATGTCAAAATGACACGTTGAAGCAGTACAATGAAGACAGCGAAAGCGGCATTCTCGAAATCGGTAAGTTGCATCTCCATACTTCGGAACTCTGTTCTCCATCCAATGTGTGGGTCATTTGGACTGTTACGGGGTGGCGGTGGCTTCCATCGAACAGTTTGCCAGTTTGTACTTTGGATACTCTCAAAGTGCTCTGTTTGAACATCGTCGTCGACTTCTTCGACAGCCCCGTCGAAGACCACGAGTGGGTCTCTGATGAACAGGTGGGCGATATGCTGAGAAAGAGCTGGATCGACACCCGCATTTCTCAAATACTGATACGTGTCTTGGTCAATCGGCAGTGGGATATCATTGTAGGTGTTTAGCACTCGGTTGGAAGTGCCACTCTCATTACGAGTGCAGGCACCTTGGTAGATGAATGTGCTGATTGAATCATAGCGACTCTTATAAATACGGCGTTGTCCTTTGGCAGTATATGCCTCGTACGGTGCGTTAGGATCTTCACGCCCTCTCTCGGCTGGTGTTCTGCAATCAACACTCTCACTGATAATACCCCATCGGCAGTCTGTATCCAAGATTCGTCCCCTGATGACTGGTGTAGAGGCTGTCAATGCCATCATACTGAGAGAAAGAGGTGAGAATTGTTGTTGGCCACATGTCTCCCTGCATTGATAGAGTCAAACTTACATTGGCGCCATGACAGCAAGCTGATCATACAGGAAACGACTCTCGTCAACATCTGTTGCCTGAAAGGTAATTTGAAGACAACAGCATCCCATACCAAATGCCATAGCATCCATATGAACTGCTGCTCGTACAGCGCTACCATCCTCCTTGGATGGACTGGTAGGAGTTCCTGGATCCACCTTCTTCTCTTCAACAATTGTAGTCGTTGCGGGTTCAGCGATCGCAATGTCACCATCAAGCAAAGAAGTAGCAGACAACTTTACTTGTTCCGCTCCTCGAAAGAGAGGAGTTTCTGATCCTAATGCTTTCTTGGCTTCACCATTGGTATGGTTGGCACGGGTGGAAATCTTGGATAGGAATGAAATCGCACCATCCGCACTGTGCATGGGCAAGTAGTAGCCATTCTGCAAACGAATCCAGCCTTCGCAGGAAAGATGCAGCAATGAGGAAACGAAGATAAATATGAACATACAATAGCATATTCCCTGTCTTACCTGGAACATCGGGAATTTCATAGCCAACGACAGTTTCACCATTTCGTGGCCAGTCGGCATCTGGAACAATGACATGCGGAGCACTGCGGTAGAACAACCCCCTGCAGCCTTCACACTGAACATCGACAATCCACTTTTGCATGACCGGCATAATTTCAGATTCATCAACTTCTTCATCCTTGGGCGACTTGGAGCACCCCACTATCACAGCATCCTTGCCATAGAGTTCTTGGGAGGCGTCTCCTTTTCCATAACGCCAAAGCTGTTGTGCGTCACCGCCACAGCATCCAGCATCGCCACTTGGACTCCCCGCAGCTTCTTCATATTCTGGAGTATTGACATCGCGGAACAACGGAATACGGATATTTACTTTCTCACCCCGTCGCTGTCGAATGTTGGCAGTCAATGTACCGAATCTAGGATGAGGGTTGATAACGCCGTCCCCAATATAATCACTTAAAGTGACTGGGCCTCCGACTGGAACAGCTGGGACAGTTCCATCATTGCCTTGCGCTCCAATCATTGGAAAGGCAGAGACTGTGGGAGCAATTTCATTGTCTTTTAGAACTGTCAGAATACGTTTTCGTCGAAGTCTCATGTTGCGTTCAACTCGCAACAAATCAGTAGTAAATCCAGTGTAAGGACGGTTTGGCGTTGCCTCAACCATCCATGCCCCATACTCTGGAACCCAATTGCACCCTTCTGCAACTTTCGAATGTTCTTGCTCTTTTCTGTTTAATTCGTCCATAATCTGTAGGAATCAGGTCAATGCGAATCAAAAGAGTCATTTTGTCAGCAAGACCATGATGGATTCTACAGGGAACATCAGTAGTTCAGCATACACAACAAAAATTCCATTGGACCCACCTCTTTGGCTCGAAGAGAAAGGCGAACTTTCTTGGTTTCTGGATCTATTTGAAAGACTCCGTATTCGATCTCATCACCCCACATCAATTCGTCTCCCTTAAGATCCTTAACTCGATTGTAAGTTGAGACAAATTGGCGGGTTCCTGCACTTCGAATGTAACTCAAATTCTTCTTGGAATCATCCCATGATTTGGGGACTCCCACTTTTAACAAGCCTTTGAGAGAAAATATTCAAGGTTAGATTCATTCATTCATTCATTCATTCACGACTTTCAGAAAAAGAAAATTCCGATTCGATAGAATTCCTTACCCATTTTGAGGGTAAAGCTTGAAACTTCGTTGATGAACAATACTGCAAGAAGAAAACTGGTTCTAAACAAACACCTTAGTTCTCTCTGCTTGCATGGCATGTAGAAAGAATATAGATGAAGTCTACTGGTGTTTGAGATAGTGACGTTGGACGTTTTGATGTGTGAAATTGCTGGGGCAGTTTTCTTGCCAAGGTTCTTTCTTGTTCCCGTGGTCTGACGATGATTACCAGTGCAACGAAGACAGACGTCGGTGGGAGTTGACAGTCTCAAGTCGGGTGGATCGAATTTCAGCCTGCCTCTACTCTACCGGTAGAAAAAAATCTGCATCGCAACATTCATTCATTCATTCAACATGATGTCCTTCTTGTGGCCATGGTCCTCCAGTGCGACTGGGGACCACGAAAACGACGAAAATCCCAGCGAAAATACACCTTTACATCCTTCAGCTTCAGACTCCAATTTGGAAGATATTCCTGAACCTCAGATTGATTTCTTGGAGGATGACGAAAAAGAGATGACAATGGGTCGAAGGCTTGGTAAGAGTATTGTCGCGAAGTTCTAGGATTGATAGATTGTTTTCACTCAGATCTTTCACGCTGATATTCTGATCTAGCTCTGAAGTTTATGGACAAAAGCTGGTACAATCCGCAAGCGAAGGATAAGACGTCGACTAGATACGATCTTGATGTGCCAAACAGAATGCGATCAGAAGATTTGGGACCACCTAGTCTAGAAAAGGCATGGGCATATTTTGAGCATTTCTCATTGAATCGATATATCAGTGACGATAGTGCAGGAATACAGAATGGCAAAAAATCAGAACCCGGACACAACCAATTGAATACAAAGTAAGAAATTATTGAGACTGCTTTGTTGTTGTCGCTTTGATTTGATGCCGAGCGAGTCTAAATGAACTTGATTTTTTCTTTTCTTCCTTGACAGACTATATCATCCAATTACTACTCCTCATAAAGATGTAAGTCGAAGTGATACAATGAGAAACAAAGTGGACGAGCAAGTCTCACGTATCACAAATTAATCATTTTGTCTAATTAATAGCTCGGAGATTTCGGTTTGGGGGTTGGTTTGTACTTTTCCATTCTTCGCTATGTGAGCATCCTTACTTTGATTTGTGGGCTGATTAGCATTGGAAACATTCGATTCTTTGATAGCGATTACTACTTGCCAGAAAGCTATCGATCACATCTTCCAATCTCGCTTCGGGGTTCTGCTACTTGCACCAAAACATCATGGGTCCCCTGTACCAATTGCGAATGTGTTCCGGAGGGCATACGATTGACAGCAGAAGAGCTCAGAAATAGTCCGTACTTGCCAGCTGCACGATGCAAAGTCGAAAATAATGTGACCCACGCACTGCGAAACGAATGTGGAGAAATTCCTTTACGAGTGGGACTCACGCACCTAACCACCGTGGTTGTCTTTCTCGTGGCACTGTTCTCTTTGGGCAAGTTCATCGTCCATGAGACGAACTATTTTGATGAAGATGAGCAAACTGCACAAGACTATTCAATTCGCATATCGAATCCACGTGAGTGACAATTGCACCCATAGAGCATGTGACCCGTTTCTCATTCATTGTCATTTTCATCGTTGCAGCAAAGACGGCAATTGATCCAGATCAATGGTATGACTTCTTTTATAAAAACTTCAATGCCAAGGCTGCGGTTGTAACATGTGCGGTGGAAAACGATCTTCTGATTAAAACTTTGGTGGAACGCCGAGAATGCACCCGCTTGATTGAAATGGCACTCGGTCCAGAGGAGTCTACAGAGGACAACAATCTCGCCAAGATAGCAGCGAAAATAGAGAGAGATCGTAACGCCTTGGATAGATGGATAGCTCGTATCTCAGCTGGAATGCCCGAACTTTATTCTCGGCTCGTGACACTGGATGGTGAGTAGCTTCAAAATACCCCGTTTGTATGACTTCCTAGAGCATGCGATTGACGTCTTTTCTTGCGACTCAGCCAAAGTGAAGGGCCTAGCCCAGCTGGACTATCATGTCACCAATGTATTTGTAACATTCGAGACTGAAGAAGATCAGCGACGTGTCTTGAGCGAACTGTCGGTTGGCTTCTGGCAATCACAAATTAACGACAGAAAGGCGGTTCCAAAAGAGTATCTATTTGATGGGGAGCGTGTATTGTATGTTTCGGAACCAGATGAACCCAGCGCGATTCGTTGGCAGGATCTGAACGTATCGTACCTCAAGGTTGTCAAGCTTATGATATTCTCCCATATGCTTTCGCTGATTTCGATTGTGGCAGTATTTTTTTTTATTCGCTATGGTATGTAAACGTTGCGGTACTCAAGCGTCCTCACTTTTTGTATATCCATTCATCTTACCAACCTTACAAAGTCGATAGCCATTTCAGCTCCGTCAAGGTTGTGTCCTACACAATTTCTATCATCAACAGCTTGTTTCCGTATGTTGCTGAGGCCTTGACTGGGATAGAGCAGTACCCTGCAGCAGGGGCCGTGGAGACATCACTCTTCTTTAAAATCGCAATGTTCACGTCAATCAATACAGCGATTGTGCTTACGATGATCACCCCATTCACTGCGACTCTTGATGACAATCAGGATGGAATCATCTACAAGGTCTCCTACTTGTTCTGGTCCGAGATTGTGACCACCACTCTTCTCCAGCTAGCTGATGTTTCGGGTCACATCAAGCGACATGTACTTGCCCCACGTGCCAAGACACAAGATGCTATGAACTTGATGTTTCAAGGAACTGTATGGAGATTGGCGGAACGGTAAGACAACATTCGAATTTTTGCTTTCGTGCTATTTGACAAGACTGGGCACTCACAGTGTCACAGTTACACAAACTTGATAAAGTTCGTCTTGTTATGTGTGTGGTTCTGTTCAATCTTCCCAGCAGCCTTCTTCTTATGTTCTATATCTCTTGGGCTGAAGTATTACTTGGATCGCTTTAGTCTCATGAGGACGTGGCAACGGGCACCTCACTTTGGAACAAGAGTCGCACGGGCTAGTCACGCATTCTTTTTCCCCTTGATAGTGGTCGCCATGGTGGTAATGGGAACCGTCTATTGGAACGGCTTCCCGTATGACAACATTTGCCCAGCTAATGTGGAGAAGGGGAAATATAAGTACTGCTATCAGGACTTTCGACATGCAGTAAGGGCCCATGAATACATGGACGCGAGCCAACGCACCACTGAACGAATCTTTGAGTTGGCATCTACTATCATTTTCCTTATCGTTTCAGTAAAAATGATCTGGCAAGTTCTAAGTGGGTATAAGGCTCTCTACAGTAGCGTCTACCAGCCAGTTGGAGCTCACAAAACGATCCCATTCAGCGATTTGCACATCCGTAGTGCATATATCCCAGGAGTTGTGTCCCCTTTGTTCGCCTTTCCTTTGATTGCCTGTCACACTGAGTCCATTGACGCGGAGCTATTTGACTGGTAAGTGCTGGTAGGCAGACTCTGGATGTCGCCTGGTCCAGAGACTCACTCACATTGTTCGCATACTTTAGGCGGGACCCAGATCATCCACATTCGTTTTATGACCTTTCTGATGATGCTGACAAGCTACTGAAGCATTCTGCACTAAGCGATCGGGGATTTTCTCATATCAAGTGCTTCAAACGAAGAAATAGTCTCTACCGGTACAATTCGAACGATATAGTCCGCGAACGATCTTCCAGTGATTCCAGCTTTGAAGATTGGTATTAAGAAATACTTTCAACGGATTTCGGGGCTTGCATTAGCTAATTCATGTCCTGATTTGCATACCAGAAATCAGCTCTTAGTCTCTTTGTGAGCTGGAGCGAAGTTTGTAAAAGATACTAGCGTTGATGGATGATTCGTGATTACGGCACAATTGTTTTATAATACTGTACCTCGTACCTCGTACCACCTTGTACTGTAGTCAGCGGGACAGAAATATTTTGCTGAGTGTGAAAAAGCCACGTCACATGAAGGTCGTCAACGTTCAAATTTCATACTACGACTCATTCGAGCAAAGTTGAAGACGACATGATTTGTGTCGCAATACGACAATGCTATCTATAAGGTGTTCGGATCTCAAGCAAAGGATGTTAAGTAAATCGAAATACTACTTATGGGAAAATTCTGGAAGCTGAATCATCCCAAACATGACACATCATTCCGTGCATCATCAGAATAAAGACATTCGATACTGCATCAGCTCAGAGAACAAAAGCCCAAGGAACGTACGATTGAGGCAGCAGGTGACAAACACAAGAGAACCATCACCCAACCGAAGATTAGCCAAAGATATGCACGATTGTCTACTACATTAAATCGAGGTTGACAGAAGATAAAGATAACAAAGCAACACTACAGAATAAGCAACGATGGCTTTGAACACAGGGGAAGACGGAGATCATTTTCGATCCAAGCCGATAACAGTTTCATCAACCTCCTCAATGGAGACAGTTACGTCCTTCAACAATGATAGAGCAAGCATGATTGGGACCCAAATTGTGTCCAACGACCCATCGCTAATAAGAACCACACCACCAGCGGCGCACTCCATACAGTATACTTCTCAAAAACCTTCGGCACAATCGGCAGAGACCGCGGCAGCTTTCCCGAGCTCCATTTCACTTGTTCGCAACCCGCTACGGTCACCATCTACCGGAGTCGTAATCCCTTCGGTCGCCAGTCCCAATGCCGTTCCGGAGTTCCTCTATCAACTGACAAAGATGCTAACAGACAACAACCGAGATATCATTGAGTGGTCCAATGGTAAGCGTCCAAGTAACGAAGTCCAGGGACCATTGCTCATTTCACACTTACTAACGCTGTTTTGCGTTTCTGCAGGAAAAATTGAAGTCCACAACCCACACAAGCTTCAATCCCATGTTCTGAATCGATACTTTCGACACTCCAAGTTTGCTTCGTTTCAGCGGCAATTGAACTACTTTGGTTTCCGAAAACTAGCCGGAAAAGGCAAGATGGCGCCGTGCTCGTATGTCAATGACGCCACGACCAACGAGCTTCGGTCTCTTTTACACATCAAGGTGAGCAGTCGTAAACTAGTCGTGTCCACAAACAATAGTAATTGTACCTCAACTCTCTTCAGAGAAAAACAGGGAACGAACCTAAGTCGAAAAGTGCTGAAAAGAAAGGGGCTAACCGCATTGTCGCAAAGTCAATACCCGGAGGGACCCGAGCTGCCATATCACCCTTTCACACCGGGGATAGCACAGCATCGCAACCTTCCACTGCAAGCGCTCCGCAGCATACCCAGCAAGCAATAGCACGTGTGGCAGTTGGAAGGGGAATTCGCCACGGCTTCTCACTGCCAGGAGGACAACCAAAGGAGAGTAGACCTCTTCCAGCAACTGTTTCTTCTACATCTGCCTTGGCACCCAGTCCTGTCGAGTCTAACTTGACTGCCCTCCAGACCAACTTTCAGACTTCCTTGCAACAAGACATAAATTCCACAAATCCACCAACTTCTCACCCTGTAACAATTTCCTCAACACCATCCGGTGGTCTCGCCTATGTCCCTGGCTCCCTACGTAGGGACGACTCCCTAGTGGATTTGGCTATGATACCTATGGGAGAATCTTCTTTGACCAACGATCAGGGTGGCGCCATGCCATTCATTGATTTCCCTTGGGACACGAGTATGTTTCAAGATGAGGAACCTCTTACATAGCCAGTCGAACGCAGTCTCATTTTGTTGACAAAAGAAATATAGACTTTTCTATTCATATACTTTTAAAATTCCTACAATATACTATGCTAGGACTATCTATCCTTTTCAACGACCTTAGTGATCAAAAGTGTGCATCATCGCGTTTTTTGGGTTCCTACCAAACAATTCCTGGAATCGGGAGCAAACATCACGGGCAGTGAAATCGCTCGTGGAGCTTGCGGGCAATCCCAGAGGGTCTCACCGAAGTGTACTCCGTTGTGTTGTCTTGCCACATGCTTGAGAAGAAAGATGAATCATCATCAGCGATATTCCTTTGGGACACCTTCAGATTAACTGTTCAACCGTCCCGACTCCAGCTGGAAAGCAGTCAATTACCTAGTTCTTACTTCACCGACCATCCAAGAGAAGCGCGTGCTTGTTGATGATTCGAATGGATACTAGGTACAGTAGATCGAAAAGAAACATGAGATCCCATACAAGCTGCACCAGCTCTACTAGACACCTATGGCATAAAATTTAATACTGTATTGTAACTTTTTTTTTTAGCAAGCGCAAATATTAAACAAATAATTATACCATAATAATAGTCTTGGAGCAGATCTTGCAAGACTCATGAATGAACCCCTTTGTACATTTCCCTTTCCAAATCCATCTAAGACTGTTGGTTCTGATTGTAATTGTTAGTCATTTGTTGCTGATTTTGCTGGAAAGCAGCAAAGGGAGTCCCATTGGGCATCATAGCCAAGTCAGCCAACGAGGGATCTCTTGACAAAAAACTGTTGAGGCTCAATAGAGACGAGAGGCGGTTCGAAGAAGCCAAAAGTCCACCCAAAGAGGCAGAACTGATGTTGCCAGAGAACATGTTATTCGTGGAGGGTAATCTGTTCAAGAGATTTTGTCCACCGACCATGTTGTGGCCGTTGCCTTGCTGCATGTTTTGGCCATTGACTTGATCATTGCCCAACAGAGACTTCAAGTTGGTAGCAGAATCAAAGAGATTCGTTTGCTGCCCAGCAGGAGCTGAGTTGGCCGCATTCATGGCAGCCGTGGCGGCGCCAGCGGGCTGTTGAGAAGCAGCGGCATTTAGGGCAGCAGTGGCTGGGTTGTCACCACCATTGTTTCCTTGTAATTGCGCGAAGTTAATGGCACCGCCGTTGGCCATGCTTAGTGCAGCCGCATTGAGAGCGGCGCTGGCACCACCCTGAGCTTGTTGCTTGGACAAGGTTGCAAGTTGAGCTTGGAGTTGTTCGATGGACGGCATGTTGGGCTTGATTGCTCCCAACTGTTGGAGATCGTTCCAGGAATTCCGTTGTTGTTGGGTTTGTTGGGCCAACAATTGGGAAAGAGGATTTTGCTGCATTTGCAACTGATTGAGTCCAAAGGCACCTTGACCCATACCCTGCATGCCAGGAGCTCCAGCCAAGCCTGGAATACCAGTTCCAAGGCCGGGGTTGAGACTGCCTTGTAGCTGCATGGCAGCTCGCTGTTGCATGGCAGCTTTGCGAGCCGCAGAGCCATTGGTCTTTCGCTTGATGAGAAGGAGACTTCTAATATCAGAAGTGGCATTCTCGTTGACGTAAGAACAGGGTGACATTTTTCCCTTTCCGGCAATCTTACGGAATCCAAAGTAGTTCAACTGGCGTTGGAACGATGCAAATTTGGAATGGCGAAAGTACTTGTGAAGGACTTCAGCTTCAAGCCGCTCTGGGTGGTGAACCTTGATGCGCCCATCAACCCATTCAATGATTTCACTGTTGTCATCCGTTAGCATCTTTGTAAGCTGGTATAAAAACTCGGCTACTGGGTGATGCTGACTGCCACGATCAGGGATTTCTCCTCCCGGTCCTTCTTGACCTGATGGGAGAGCTTGGGGGCCAGCGCCGGCTTGATCAGCATGTGACATTGCGGATACTGGAGTCAGTGAAGATACTTGAGCAACACTGGCTGAAGTTGGGCCAGGGTCCGACTTGATCTGAGGGACGTCTCCCTCCTTGTTTGGTGGGAGTCCTTGTGCCTGAAGAGCAGACAATACCGCACCTGGAGAATTCGCTTGTGCATTTGCTGCCATTTCAGACAGAGCTGCTTGTACTTTCATTTGGTCCATCGTTATTGTCGGATTTCCTTGTTGATTTCTTAACTCGGCTGCAGAATTGTAATATTGTGACGAGGAACGTGTGGAAGTTGGAGAGAATGATCACAAGAACGAGGCTTGATAGCGTAAAAGCAATCGTTTTTGGGAGCGTGTGCTGCAGACGTGGCAGAGTTACTTCATGGTCTTGGGATGTTGTTAAATGGTAGACCGGCGCTAGAATCCCGACATCTTCTTGCCCTAAGTTGTTTGATATTTATAGGCATTATTGCATATAACGATCGCCAATCCACCTTCAATCAGTACATTTTTTACGACAGTACTTCACAATACGTATGCATCTACGTTTTTCATTTTCGGCTGAATTTCACTTCTGGAAAGGAGTTTCTCCATTAAACAGATACGATTTATGAAAACAAAACCAAGCTTCTGATCTATTAAATGTGGAGATATGGCATTAAATAATTCTGATAAATGTGAGGCATAAGGAGGTAATCTGCAAAGGCTGACGTATGCCAATCTGTGGAAATACAATAAGTGACTTTGGCACTTTCAAATCAAGCCAGACCAGCTCGTTCGTTTTTCCCAACCAATCAAATTCACATAATTTTTTCGAATTGAAGTGAACGAAATTCGTCGCTTGCGTCAGCATATTCGTTTGAAGGGCTCGTTGTGATGTCACTGAGAGCACCGAACAAGAAATGAATAAAAATGAATAAGTCGAAACATTCCAGAGAACAAGAGCCGTCTCATGGAAAAAGAAAAATAGAAGGTATATGAGACCCAGCGATGATAAGTTCATCTTCTCTGATGACACAAACTGTCCAAATTATCAAACAGAAAGAGTACAGTACCTGATTCCTCAACAATACTTGCAGCACTTGAGAACCATCAACGGACAAGATGCGTTTTGAAACAATCCCATCAACTGTGCGGAGAAGATTGTTCTTGTCCTATTTGAAGTACCAGAGCCAACAATCAACTATGGACGAGATCATTTCACCTTTCCCTTACACAGATGATTCTTTGCTCTCCAACGATCAGACGAACATAATTTTTCCTAGCATCCAATCTATTGTCTTTATACTTGTAGCTACACTGGCAGATTCTTTAGAACTTCCTCTCTCGACAACTCATCGCCCAAGCTTTCTGATACCGCATCTTTCAAGAGTTCCACCACTTTGAATATGGAGGGTCGTTCGTCTGCATCATAGATAAAGCATTGTTTGATAACCTCGACGAGCCTCGCCTCTTCTTTGCTGCGTTCTGAGAACCGCGGGTCAATATAGGTTATGTTGCCAGCCTTGATTGCTTTCTACAAGTCAAATAGTTGATGTGGGTGAGGCTTCTTTGCTTGGTGCTTTGATTGCATCGCAGAATCCCAGTTCGTACCTTTGTTTCTTTCACCTCCATCCATGGAAAGACGTACATCCCTGATAGCAGGCTGTAAAAGTTATTGCCTAGGGACCACACATCGATCTTCTCGTTTATGTGCTCATCCTTGTACTCTTCAGGGGACCGCCACTACAAATAACAAACAACAGGATAAGCAACAATTCTGTTGGATAATTTTCACCGATCATCAATCATAGACCAAAAACTTACATTGCCATGACCAACGCCATTGGTATATCTACAATATTCCCCTTCAGTATCATCATACAACATGAACTCGGCTCGATTAAAATCGTTGATCTTGAGCATGGTTCTGTCCTTGGTCAACAGAAACTGAGACATTTGCACGTCGTCATGTACGATAACGCCGTTACTGAATCCATGCAACAAGGCTATTCCCTCTGCCATTTCTAGTGCTAATACTAGTTTCTGCTTCCCAGTCAGTTTGGAATGGACTTCAAATACGTCTGTCTTACTGAGGTCTTCATCCACCCATCCATCGTCTTCGTAGGCTACCTCTTCGACATCGCCGTGATAAAAGTACTCTGATAGGATCCCATAGCCACAATAGCCGTATATGTCATAGGTTCGTGGATTCGCAGATAGTCGTTCGGCTACTAGTGCATCCATCCGAACAGTTTCATAAGTCTCCGTATCTGAAGTATCGTCTTTGCTGTATATTATATCTTTGAGGGCAATCTTCTGGACGTCATTGTCGAAGTCGTGATCTAAAGCAAACACCTGACGCCACCCACCATTTCTACACATTGCCGAGCGTCACGGGGAAGGATTGAGGTACAGTTTCTTTGGATAACATCAATGGATAAACAGCTACTCACGCAAGGAACTTGACGTTCTGCTCTAAAAGGCTTTGCTCATGGAACCTGTTGCAGTTTTGGAAATTGAATCGATGCTCTGACATCCGCCGGCAGTGCTTCGTAGAATCTGCATGAATTCCTCGATTTATGTCATCATCAAAGTCGTAATACCTAGAGTAGTTTCGTTGTCAGAACGGCCAAATTGACATCACGCAATCAAAGGCATATGCAGTGAAAAAGTGCACTTACAGTTCCTGGTCATCATCTCTATCTGCATCGGGCGGCCGATAATCCGTTCCCTCAAGCTTCCTGTCGCGAAAAATCTGTCTTCCTTCTTTATCATCGGCGAGCAAATTAATAGTCAAGTCGCCATAGTCCTCCACATGTGGATCGTCTGTCAATATTCCTTTTGGAAGAGAGAAAGCTCTCACTCCTGTAGCTGGAATGCGCTGAAATACAATGTTCGAGGGGGCAAAAATACGTTCAATCTTGCCAGTCTTGCCAAATACTTTTGCAGTCAAGGCACGATGGAAGCCAAAAGCTGGCGCTTCCAAGCTTTCTACCTGCTGATGCAAGAAAACTATGGCGATCAGAAAGGTAATGATAACAACAGCGTATACCCAGGTCGCAATTCTTAAAGTTTTGGAGTGCCGATAAGGGTTGGATATCGATCCATCACTGACACAAAGGGTTGGAAGTACAGATTGGTTCCGCGCCCTTCGACCCTGTGGCTTCCTCATGCTGCATAATACAGCAATGGATGATGTATTTCCTCCTTCAAAAGCTTTCATCGGTTTGGGTTCGTCTGCATGATTATCTACGATTGTAAGTTCCACAAGTTCTCAATGTGAAGTGCAGAAATTGGAAAATAACTGATTTGATACACAGGTACACGTGTATTTTGTCAAATGCCAAAGATTACATAGCACTTCTAACGCACAGAAGTCGATGTACATAGCGCACCTCGTCAGGACAATAAACAACGTCCAGACTGGCAGGCGCGATAGGCAACTTTTCAGTGTACAGTTTTCAGTACACAAAGCGTCGTGCCTCACAAACTAACTGCATTCGACTTCAGCCACGTGCCTATTACGTGGAGGCTGCAGTTCGTCCCATGGAGACGAGCAGATGTATTGAACAAGTAGGAAGAGTGCACAGAGCAAGGGATCCTTTCATTGGCTCCGCAAGCATTTGTGTTTGTGTCCAAGGCGAAAGTCTTGAGCGTCAAGGCTCTACTCTTTATCGGCAAGCGCTTGTAGAATGTCAATTCTTGACTCCTCTTCGCTTAAACTTTCAGATACAGCATTCCTCAGATATGAAACCACCTCAAATATTGTAGGTCTATCATCTGGATCGTACTTGAAACATCTTTCAATCAATCGAGCTAGTGCCTTTTCCTCTTTGCTCCTTGTCAAATAACGAGGGTCAATGTAAGAAATTTCTCCTCTCTTTACTGCTTTCTGTAGTGAGACAACCAAAGCGGCGAGATCAGATTGAAGCTGTACTAATTCGGGAGCAGAAAGATAGACTGCAACGCACCTTAACTCCGTCGGTGTTCGTCCAGTACATAGGGTTCAACCCAGTTAGTAAAGCATACATGTTGTTGCCAAGGCTCCAAATATCGATCTTCTCGTTCAATCGGCCATCTTTATATTCTTCGGGCGATCGCCACTGGAAAAAGGAGCGGGTGTCAGCATCATTAGATTTATAATTGTCCAATCGATCCAAGTTACGTACATTGCCATTGCCCTTTCCATTTTGGTATCGGCAGTATTTCTGGGTCGTTTCGTCAAAGAGCATGAACTCTGCGCGGTTAAAATCATTGATCTTTAGCATAGATCTTTCCTTGTTTAAAAGATATTGCGGCAATTGAATGTCATCGTGAACTATTGGTCCCCCACCATATCCATGCAAAACGGCAATGCCTTCGGCCATTTCTAGTGCCAAGACTAGTTTCTCTTTCCCCGTAAGATCGTTCTGTGGCTGCAACTCTTCCCTGTCATAATCTTGTTCGGCGTGCCCGTCTCCGGTAATTACCAAGTCTTCTATATCCCCATGGTAAAAGAACTCGGACATGATTCCTAATCCACAAAAGCCAAATATATCGAACGTTCGAGGACTCGAAGAAAGCCTTTCGGCGACCATCGCGTCCATCCGAACGAACTCAAAGTTATCCACTGCTACGTCCATTCTTCGTAACAAGATGATTGAGCTCGAGTTGCCGTGAAACGAGTGAAGCTGTTGGAGTTGGCATTGGGAACTTACGAGATGTGAATGTCCTTTACTGCCATCATTTCAATACCTTCCATGAATGAATGCCCAATCGCAAATACTTGGCGATATGATCCCGCACTGAAAAAGGCAATAGTAAGTTAGCTGCGCTTGCTTCAAACCAACAAGAGCATAGTTCTCTCACCCCAAAAATGTGATGCCACTTTCAATCAACTCTTGCTCGTGATATGTGTTACAATTTTGAAAGTTCACTCGATGCTCGGGTATCCGCCTGCAGGTCTGTTTGGAATCAATATAATCGCTACGAAGCTTATCGTCGTCGAAATAGTAGTACCCATCAAGATCGTCGTCCAATGATTCATCTGGTAATCGGTATTCGGTGTCCTCCTCCGTAAAGTTGTGAAATATTTGTCGTTTGACATCGTCTTCCTCGAAGAAATCGAGGTATAGCCCACCAAAGTCAAATTCGTCACCATCTTGTTTGAATTCCGGTAGATCTCCGTATGGTAGATTGAATGCCTCTGTAGCCGGAACGAAACTGAACTTGATAGCGGTTGGCGTTGATAGAACTCCAATGCGGAAGCGACCCTCTGTCAAATCCATACTGTCGACTTTCAAATATAGGATCACATTCAGCATCAGAAATCCCAGAACTCCAGTGGCCCCCATACCAGCAAGTATTCTCCATGTCTGTTTCGGATTGCCCCTTCCGACGACGCGGCCGTATCGTCGGATTTTGACTTTGAATGCTTGCTTTAGGAGCCGCATGGCTGGGGGTTGCTTCCGACCATGCCTTGCTCGCAACCCGTTTGTAGGACTCGTGCCCTTTTTTGGAGAAGCGCAAGGGCTATGTTGCCCTCCTTCAAGATCAAGGTCCGTTCTAGACAAAGTTCTTGCTCGAGATCTCATCACCGTACACGAACAATGCCGATGTTTTTTCTTTGTTGGTTGTGAAATAAAGTGGTCGAATTGATCAAAATCATCTTCTACCAGCACATGAAACTATACCGGTACAGTAACTAATAACATGAAGACAGATGGTAGGTAGTCCTAGTCAATACCCCAACTGATGCCAACATGGAATATACAATGATCCAAATCACGATTATCCTCGCTATTTTTAGTCTAAGTTTCGCCCTTACTCATAGCGTCGCGTATTGATGCCTCAAGGTATTCAACAATCTCAAATATGGTTGGCCGATCCGCTGGTTTATGTTCGTGACAGTGGTCAATTAGGTGGGCCAGCCGCTTCTCCGCGAATGAATGAGTTCGAAATGCCTCGCTCAGCGGTGCTTTGACTCCTTTCTGGACAAGTTTCTATATAATTCAATGGAAACAAAGTAGAAGCAATGGTGAGTTTGGATTGCTCTGACTGTGGCACAAAAGAAAGTGAGACGACTGACCTGGATTTCAGGAGTTTCTTTCTCATTGAATGGATCGACACCTGTCAAAATGGAGAAAAAATTGTTGCCCAAACTAAACACATCAACCTTCTCTGTAAGAGCTCTGTCGGCATATTCTTCCGCAGCCCGCCACTGATGCAAAAACGAGGTGAGACAATACTTCTTCATGCTTCCACGCATCATTCTCGTCGGATTCCCTGACTTACACTTCCAGATCCCACACCTTCCCAATAGCCACAATATTTATTCTTGTGGTCATCAAAGAGGACAAACTCGGCTCGATTAAAGTCATTCAGTTTCACCATGGTCTTGTCGGCATTCCATAGGAATTGCGATAGTTGGATATCTTGGTGAACAATGATTCCACCAGCATGTCCGTGCAAATCAGCAACGGCATCTGCCATTTGCTTGGCCATTAGGAGTTTTTCTAGCGGAGAGAGCACATTCTGTGGATCATATCCCTCGTCGACGGAGGCATCCTCGTTGGGTACAATTTCGGCTTCCAAATCTCCGTGTGGGAAGAATTCCGAAAGGATTCCCAATCCACAAAAGCCGTAAATATCATAAATTCGAGGACTGGCGGTGAGTCGTTCCGCCACAATGGCGTCCATTCGAACAAATTCATAGTTTTCTTCCGTAGCCTCAAAGCTGTCATGTAAAGTCTCAAAAGTTAGAACGCAAAGGGAAGCACCGAAGAATCATCCAGCAGGCAGCAACAACTTGGTGCACTTACTCGAAATGAATATCTTTAAAGATGATTCGCTCTTGTTTGTCTACATTGTCATGTTTTCCGACCATGACCTGTCGATAAGCTCCAGCACTAGAAATGAAATGAAGGTGTAAGAATGAAAAACAACGATCGTTCATATCAATAGTCTGACTGACTGACGACTCACTTTAGATAGGTTCCTTGCGATTGGATAAAATCAATTTCGTGGTAGACATTGCAGGTCGGAAAGTTCAAACGGTGTTGGTGCGTTCTACGACATTGATAGTCGTACTCCGTGTCCTTGCCATACTCGTCACGCTTAAAGTCGTCGTCAAAGGCAAAGTAACTGTTTAGCGAATTATCAATACAGAAGTGCTGTAAGCAAGACAAAAGTTTCACAATAGACTGTTTCCAATCCACACAATGATACTCACGCAAGATCCTCCATTTCCTCGTCCTGGTCCTCGTCGTTTTGTTTGAGTGGACTGAAGTATTGAAAGCCGTCCTCCAATTGGAAATCGTACCAAATATTCCGCCTGGCACTGTCTTCGGCAAAAAAGTCCATTTCGAGGCCACCATAATCAATATATGGATTATCTTCCTTGTCATTTTCAAAATAGTCTTCGTCTCTCCATGGAATTGGCATTTGGATTCCATTTTTGTGCATCCTCCAATGATGTTGTTCTGGTTGTTGTTTGGGAAAGACAATCTCAAAGTCATTGGAAATGGTTGGGCGTAATATTGTGGATTTGGAGGATGGTTTCGTCATCCCTACCACTTGGAATAGTTCAAAGAGTGCAAACAAGACTAAAATGGCCACACCCGTACATACAATGGCAAAAGGCAAAGCCTTTTGTGGATGCTTGTTCAAGTAATGCCGCAGTCTTCGGTGGAGTCCACGTTGCAAGGATGACATTAGTCGTTTGGAGGTACGTTTTCGTCGCCGTTGTTGTCGAGGAAACCGAAATTCTTTCTTTCCAGTACTAGTACTAGTAGTCTTATCATTGTTAGTTTCAGCTCCGGAACCGACTTCCAAGGACGATCGGCGAGCATTATTATTCGAAGCAGCCACAGCTGCATTTGGTCTGGTTCGTAGCATGTTATTGTGTCCTTTTTCTATTATGGAATATGCTGGTTCTTGACTGATTCTTCCTTTGTCGTGCTTTGTATTTTTTTTGCTATCGTAGAATAGTCGCCATGCAGTTACAATAGTTTGATGATGATGTTTGTTGGTATAAATCGGACAATGCGAGAATGATAAACGTGAGAACGATTTGAATTTTTGAAGCGTGCTGTGGTCTGTCCACACACGGTCGACACTATCATAGTACAGTACGAAGTTTCGTCTCATTTGATTTGCCGGTACACTATCGAAGATAGCCAACTGGCGCCTACCGCCTGGTTTCTTCCGTGAGGGATTCTTTCTTGGTGTGACTCTGGTGGGTTGTGGTGTGAAGCTGGTCTTTTGGATTGCGCGCGAAGCGTGCGGTTCCAGAAGACCAGTCTTTGATATCCCGCAAAGCGGAATATCAGAGACTTGCTTGCCTACTAGGTCATGCATTGATGCAAATTGCAGCAATGCATGGCCTAACAGGGATGTGGAGGGAGGGAAAGAAAGAAATAAACGTATTTCTTGATGTATACTCGCACACAAGTTCGATAAATTGATCGGACTTGGTGTTGCGGAGCAATGATGTTGAGACGGTCGTTCGACCGTCGTCAGTATGATGAAAGGAATCCAATGATTCGTTCTCGAGCTTTCGTCTACGTTAGACTATCGAAGATAGCCAACTGGCGCCTACCGCCTGGTTTCTTCCGTGAGGGATTCTTTCTTGGTGTGACTCTGGTGGGTTGTGGTGTGAAGCTGGTCTTTTGGATTGCGCGCGAAGCGTGCGGTTCCAGAAGACCAGTCTTTGATATCCCGCAAAGCGGAATATCAGAGACTTGCTTGCCTACCAAAAGTTGATGATCATGGTGTAATCAACCAACCACCACAACACACGAGACGCCATAGAAGAAACAAGATGGAAGAAAACAGGAAGAAATAGGAAAGAAGAAAGATCGGAAGGAAAGATGGATCTAAGAAGAAGGAGAAGAAGAAGAAGAAAATGTCAACTTCATTGCCCCTTGAATTGTTCGCTCAAGCGTGTCACCAATGGATTGAAAGCAGTCGCGGAGGTAGGTGGGCACAGAGCTCGGAAGCCAGCGTAATCGAAACGCGATTTCGTCATTATTGGCTCCACCTTTTTGTAAGCACACTGCTGCGGTGACCCGATTGGAATGAGGAACAATTAGATGCCGGTTAATCCGCATATAGTGGTTTGGATTGGGATATGCCAAATCAACGGAACGGCGCATCACTTCAGAGACCTCCCTGGATTTTAAGAAGTGATAAGAAGACATGGTGCCAGAACTCCATACGCCAATAGGGCAAGTGCCAGGCACACCAAGCATTGTCTTGCGACGAATGATACAAACAGCAGCATCGACAGGACAGTAAATTTGGTGGCCAGTGATCTTGAAGCGCTTCTTCACAAAGTTGAAAGCACTCTTATCATAACGCCAACAAAGCTCAAGCCACACAACATCACCACGGTTGTATCGTGTTACCAGATGATGGTGTGGGATCAACACATAATCCTTGTCAAAGAAACGAAAATCGATAGCCATCATAGCAAGTGGCATTCCCCGGAACGCTTTGGGAACATCATTTTTGTGTGGGATTGTATTGAACAGTTTTCCACGGTCTAAATCGCCTTGAGAATATTCACTGGCCCGAAAACCAGTGAAAATACCTAAGCGGGTCCAATCATATACACAGTGTACCTTACCAAGGAATGTGGCAGTGGGATCTGGTGAGTTAGCAAGCCATTGTTGCAACGCAACAAACATTTCCATGGTAAATGGTTCGTATCGTTCATTTTTCTGTTGCCAACAACGACGATCATGAATTTGCTGAAAGAGAAATGGGTGATACCGATTTTGCTTGCCGCCATAAGCAGGATCCATAACTTGGATAGGGCGACCTAAGCGATATTGCAAGTATTTGTGAGCTGTTGACAAATAGTTACGAAGTGTATCCGCTTTCAAATCCTCTTTTTCTTTGGAGTTGTCACCTCGTTTGACATCACGAAGATAAGTGCCAAGTACAAGGATGCAACCGGCATCATCTAACTTTTGTAAATCGTGCTCGGAAAGTTCTTGTCTGATGCACCAATTGGCAAAAAATTGGGCTCGAGAGTCAAAAGATCTGTCGTTACGCGCCCGTACTGATCCCCTGTCGGCGGTTCTTTCAGCGTCAATGCAATCTTGGACAGCAGTTCGAAAGGCAGAAGGCAGATGCGACATGTCTGTAGTTGGGACCATTCCGCGATAACGGAGGCCAATGAATTCTCGTGATCTTTTCCTTGAAGTTGTGGTCGACTTAGGGCGTCCGCTGCTCCGTTCTGATTTCCAGGATGATGTTTGGGACAAACTTTCATGAGTAATTGAGAGGCTTCAACAAGCAATGCAGAACCTATTCGAGCCAGTCCCTGTAGAAGAGGATCTTTTGTCCTGGATGCTGTCGACATCCAAGACACAGCCGTTGTATTATCGATCAATAAAGCTAAAATGTAGCCCCCATCGATGGGGCCGAGAAGTATCACACATTTGATGCAGATCCAAAGGTTGATGAGTGCACCCAGATATTCCAATGGGTTGATGTGTAAGAAACCATCAGGTAACGCTGGGTCATTAGATGAGATTTTTATTTCACGCATCTCAAAACCTGCTTCGACAAGAGTATCACGGGTCAGGCGCCAGAGGAAACTGAAATCAGCACTCCAGCCACCCAAGCCACCATAGCTTGCGTCGGAATATGCACGATGAGTGTAGTCACGATCCAGGTACAAAGCGATAGGCCGAGACCAAAGTGGGCTGTCCTCAGGCGCCAATAATGTCTCCAACAGTTGATGGATTGTAGCAACTGCCACACGCGATAGGTAGATACGAGAACATGTCCACCAGCTTCGTTTGTCGGAGAAGGCATTCTTGGCAGCCTGTGTCAGTGCATTTTGCAAGTTAAAGCTCAAGAAATTGCCCCATGGTGCAATTTCAGATGCAGATCGGACAATACCAACAATCTTTGCCATCTCACGAGGAGAAACGCAACGTGGACGACGTTTCAGGATGTCCAACAACTGTGAGTGCAAGTCTTCCCGTTTGTAGAGTGGCCAAGAAACCGTCATATTGTGTGTATTGATACGAAATCCTAGAAACAAAAAGGTTTCTGTAACCTCAGGTTCCCACTTTTTGTCCTGGAGGCAGTCACCACGGCGCTTATCACCATGACCAAAAACCTCAAAGGCAGACATCACACTGTGATTGATTGCTTGCTTGATATGTTCAGCAAAGGCGGCAACTGCATTGTCGTCAACATAGCTAGCATTGTACATTCGAACAAGTTCGGTCACAGACAACGGTGGGTGATGGGAATCAGCAGGGACCGTGCACAAAGGAGTAGAAGTATCAACGGCAATGGTACATTTACGGACCAGCGCATGTAATTTGTCCAAAGGAACATCAACACGACAAGTTGCCAAGACCTCCCGTAGGTCGGCAAGAACACAGTAGAATGATGGAGCATTCCTTGAACCAAACACCTGGCCCACTGGGACAATCAAGTAGTCTGAGTATACATATGCAAATGCCACAGCTACATCTGGATGATAAAGCACACGTCGAAAGGCGGCTTCAATATCGTCAGCATGAACCAAAATAGGACTTGTCGGTTTGGTGATGCGCATACGGAGAACTTGACGTAGAAACCTCTTGAACGCAAACTGGTAGTGGATTGGAGGGCACTGCTCACCGGACTTATCTTGCTTTGGTTTGGGGATATAGGTGTTGATTGATCCTAAGTCGTCAGGACCATTGGAACAGTCAATGCAAATCCGACCTTTACCTTTGTCAAAAACCCACTGGATAGGATTAATAACCAGACCTGGGATGAATTGGAACACAAACCGTAAATAGTGAATATGATAAGCCTTCCATTCTTCTTTTGCAAACTTCTCCTCAACTTTGGAAGAATTGGCAGCAACTGCTGGATGGTTATCATATTCTTCTCTAAGGACAGTAGCAGACATAGGAGTTGTGTATTGGGCTTTGATAGGAACACCCTCAGTTTGGATGCGATAAGCCATTTCAAGTTTGAGTGGTGGGTATTCAGCCGGAACCTCTTTGTTATGCAAAGTAGAGTCAATGACATCCCATTCTGCGTTGAAATCTCGATCAGAATTGACGTATTCGCCACCCAACCAACGAATGAAATCCCCATGTAGAAAATCGAAACGAAGAAGACCCGCAGAATTGAGCTTTGCCCGTGTAGGATCCAACCTTGTCGGAATACCCGTTGTTGGTAGAACACGTGGTTCTTTCAAACAAGCCAGCGAAGTGACAGAGGCAAAGCGACGAAGAGAGGCATATTGACGCCACTGAGGCAACGCAATAATCACGTTGTGTCTATCCACTGTCGACAGAAAGCCCCAAGCATAATGAATCATGGATCGAGGGTTGACCTTTGCGTGGGTGCTGTAGCGATCTTTGTGTACTTTTCCAAAACCCCATTGTCTTTTGCGAGTAGTCTTCCAAGGACGAGAGAAGGGAAACTCCAAAAGCAGAGAATTTTTCGCCAAAGCCGGAGTCACCAGGGTCAGCACGTTATAATCTGTTTCATCCAAATAGTTGCTTGCCTGTACCAGGTGGGCAATCAGCATAAATGTCGGCTGAACTTGTCCATTTCCAGGAATATTTTCATGTAGCGTCTTAGTAGGAGTGTTGAATTTCTTTTCTTTTCCCCATGGTAGACACGGCACAGTCTTAAGAGGCAACTCACGAATCGGAAGATATTGCCAGTCCCAATCTCCAGGCCATCTGTTTTTGATCCGAGCTGGTGGTGTCTTGTGAAACCGACGCCTTGGGGGAACCATGATCTTTACTCTGTCTGATACCACTGGCTTGGAGTCGTGCTCCACAAGCTGGGCCCCTTCGGGTACCAGTGGATCCCATCACCAAGTTGTACTTGGAGTCAGTTTCTTGAATGCCTTGCTCGGCAAAATATGATCGTGATACTTCTTTATGAAATCGACAATTGGCTTCCAATCCTCTTCTTTGTAGGTGGCCGCGGACCAACGCGCATCATTCAAATCGATATGAAGACGAGTTTTGCCAGCATAGCGGCCCACCTTGTGGGTCTTACAAGTCCCGGGTTTGGAACAAGTACAATGGCCCTCAAAGGTGGAATTTAAACAGATGGGATACAATGTGTTCTTACCAGAAGTGCGTTTAGCGTGAGGATCCACAATCAAGGGATAGGTGCCCCGTTGGACCACTGGGTATAACATTTCCGACGGAGATTTCTTTCCCAAAGGAGTGACAGTATGATTCCACACAAATAGTGGACTGGTGTTACGAAAGGGAACATTCTCTTTATCATCCCGAGTACGCTCCGTCGTCTTTGGCTTTGGTAGGTCCAAAAGCCGTGAAGGCGCAGCTTTTTCAGGGGCAAAGAAAGGTGAAGAAGACATCGCCCACGAACATTCGTTTGGAGCAGTATACCGACCAGCTCCCCAATTGCGCTGTATGCGAGTATAGTAGTCATGAAGAACATTTACTACACTCTCCGTCTGAGCCATAAAACCTGCACTATTCGTTTTTGACGGCACCGACATAAATACTGCATTACGGTCATTTGTGGGCCACGCATCACTAATACCATAATTTTCCACATCATGTCCAATACGATGGTCAACGAACTTCTTCAGAATGTGAAATAGTTCACTTAAATCGCGAACGTAAGCAGCTGTACACTGTGCAGGTGTCTGAGCCCATCTACGACCCAAATTTGTGTTCAGGACATATTGACATATGTGTCGCAAACAATGACCAAAGAGTGAACTGCAGAAAAGTTCATCATTGTAATCTCCGTTATCCGAAGTTGGGTTTGTAGAGCCCAAGAGTGCAAAATGATAGTATATCACCATTGCAAATTCTTTCATCTGCTGCCAACTTAATCCGTCACTTGGTAGGTAATCAGAAGAAAAGTCTTCCGAAATACAGGGTAGGAATGCTAGCAATGAAAACCGTTTGGACGTTCCTGGTGGTGGAGCGCTGTCAGGATCCACCCACCATGTAGCAATATCAAAACTACGCTTGATGAAGGCGCTGTCCATTACGGACCGCAAATCACATTGTAGCTCTCCAACTTGCGAGAATGTTCCAAATTGGTATTTGGTTCGGTACTCTATAGCCGTACAAACAATATTCGCAGCCACACTGCCATCATTTTTGTAATCAAAACCTTCCAGACATCTACGCCCAATTTCTGTTGGTAGTCCAAATTGGAGAACGTCAGATGCCATTCGATCACCGAGAGATGTTCGCACCATCCCCACCGTAGGAGGGACTGGATGCAACAACCAATATCCAATTGCCTTCAATTCCGGGGGGCAACAAATGCGCTCCATGTCCGAGTTAATACTGGCAGTCCGCACAGGGGTATATTTGGACCGCAAATTTGGCTTGTTTGTGGTGAATCCGGGATGGGCCGGATAATAACCCATCGGATACATTGCACTTCCGTACCCTGCGGGATAAGATAGGTTTGGATGCGAAGCAGTATACATGTGAGGAGAAGGTATCCCTGGCGATGCTGGAAACATCTGTTGATGGTGCATCGGTGTTGGCAACCCAGGCGTCGGCAATCCTGTGTTATGTCCAGCAAACGGGGACGGGCCCCGAGGGGTAGGATCAATTTGGACTCGTGGACCTTGTTGAAATGGAGAATTCCATGTTGAATTGTGGATTCCATTAGGAGGCATACCTTGGGCTGGCGACTGGAGTGGTATGTTTGTACCGTTCATAACACCAGCAAACGGATTACCTCCTGTGGCATCGTGGAAACAATTGGAATTGGGATGATTGACACCCATGTGACGATTTTGCAAAGGAGATGGCGTCACCGCTGGCAGCTGTCTATCCGCAAAAGATTGGGTCCCAGCATGATCTTCAGGTGGCTCATAATTAGTTCCGTGCCCATCTTCGAAATGACCATCCTCAGTAAGGACGATCAAATCTCCACGAGCTGGTACCGGTGTACGAATTGGTGCTTGACGCAAGCTAGGCTTGTGGCGCTTAGCCGCCTGAATGAACTCTGCCATGTCATCATCCACAGGCAGACCGGCAGGTGCTGCACTAGGCAACGGCAACCGTTGGGCAACATATCCTTCAGGATCTTGAGCAGAGGATGGGAGTGGTCGAGGTGTATATTGCAAGTACGATTCCGGAACCTCACTCCCAGGATCTAAATCCAGCAACTTGTACCATTTGGATACACGACCATCCCATGACCTTTCTTCATCTTCATATGGGAAGAGGTAGTTGACAAAGGCTTGACATTCAGCAGGTAAAGTTGTACCCAAAGCTTCAGGAAAGGAATCCGACACACGCATGTTGTGCATCTTGACACGAGCACGCATCTTGAATCCAAGAGGCGACGTTGGCAAAGAGGCACTGCGATAAATGATTTGCATGAGATGGCTTCTGAGGAAACGATCCATTTGTTCTTGGAATGGGGAGAGCAAAGCCTTATCCAAAACTTGATCGTTGTCGAGATCTTCCTTGGTGGGGAAAGAATACCAGAGTGGCATAGCATCCACAACAGGGACAGCAAAACTTGCAGGACTATCTTTAACGGCCGTGAACCAAGATTCAATAATTGGCTTTCGTGTCTTCATTAGATGAAGAAGACCCGAGAAGACCTTTTTCCGATTAGCAATACTATTCTGAAATTCATCAAAACCGCCGCTCGCAGGCCAAACAAAACCCACAGGACAAGCAGACATGGTTGGAAAGAAAAGAATTTTCCAAGCATCACGATTGAATGGTTTATTACCAATTGCATCTCCATCTGTCATCAAAACAGGAAGAAGAGCTTTGGCAAAGTCAATTCGATTGCCCGTCAAAGGGGACGCAAAAGTATGTCCGGACATTGATCCCAACAGAAAATGGGTCTGTTTTGTGGGATCACTAACATACTGGCGCGCAAGATCATTGGTGACAATTTCCCCAAGGGGAGCCGGAGCTCCACACGTATTGGGTTCCAATATATCCGGTTTGGTCAAGACCGGATTGGAAATAAACATAATGTGACATGGCTCTCCATCTTCACCTTTCCTGACCAAAAGGGCAAAACCAGGAGACAATGTTTCTCCATTTCTCAACCGCTGGGCTGTAGTCAACTGAGGATCGTTCCACTTGTCAAACAGTTGCTCCAACTCTTCCATCCGTTGATCCTCGGGCTCCAAATCCTCCGGGCAGGTCACCTGATATACCGGGGTGGTGGTATTGGTGACAGGGTGGCCGAATGATTGATGGATTGTTTTGTCCAATCTCATTCCTCGCCTAGGATTGATGAGTTGATCGTGGATGGTCAAGTCTTTATGGGGCAGACGAGTGAGCTGATCCCAGAAGGTACGGCCGCGGGTTCCATGTTCCGACGCGAAAGCATCAGTCAAGAACTTCATGATGAGGCAGCAAGCAGGGATGGTGCGGCGGAAGGGAAGATGAAAGAGCACTAAAGGTCAGGTGTGATAGAGCGTAAATTCGACAGCTAACACAGGCAGTTTTCGCAGATCAGATCTACTACTCTTCGCCAACAACTTGATTCGAGAGTATTGAAAGAAAGAAATAAACGTATTTCTTGATGTATACTCGCACACAAGTTCGATAAATTGATCGGACTTGGTGTTGCGGAGCAATGATGTTGAGACGGTCGTTCGACCGTCGTCAGTATGATGAAAGGAATCCAATGATTCGTTCTCGAGCTTTCGTCTACGTTAGAGTATCATCAATTGGGACGAAAGTGCTGTAGGTATAGTCTAGATGTATTTTTTTTTAAAAATCACTGTACTTCAAATGATGCAGATCATCTGGTGACACAACAAGTACCACAATCATTTTATCATGATCCAGCACCCATTTACAAACAATTCCAACATCCTAGATCATATCCACTAATCTAACTTCACCGTTATCAACTTTTAACTTCCCCGATATGTCGAAAAGGACCAGGGACTGACCAACAATGGAACATGATAATGATCATCAGGATTATCAATGCCAAATCGAATGGGAATGGTATCCAAAAAGGGAGTCCCATTGGCGTAGGTTCCTTGACTGGCAAAGTAATCTCCTGCATAAAAGTTCCACTCGTACACTCCCACTTCCATATCCAGCGAATCGCTACCCAATCGGGCGCGTCGTCCCGCACCCTCCAAGGCAGGACCCACATCCAATCGTCCATCGTGATTGGTGACAAAGGTTCCCAAGTCTTCCACAGTAGGCGACAATTTGGTCAAAGTAATCTTCATATTGGCCGCGGGAATCCCATTGGCGGTATCCAAGACGTGGACCGTCAAGTATCCCTCACTATCGGTCGAGCAATCTAGCTTACTCAACAAACGCATCCAGGCAATCTTGTGCACTTGGTCAATGGCCGTTTGAAATTCGGAATGTTGGGGTCGATTCACCCTTCCACTCAGTGCGGCCAAGATGGTTTCCTTGCTGGCATTGCGGACGGCAAGAATAAAGGGAAATCCAAAGGTTGTCTTGTATTGGTCATTCAGAGCTGTGAACTTGGTCAATTGTTCGGGTGTCATGGTTTGCAATCCCGCCTTGCCCTGTTCTTCTTGGGATTCTTTTGTCAGTGTTTTCAATGTAGCCGCCTTGACGCCCAAATCGGGATGCAATTGAAGCAATTTTAGTTTGGCTTCCTCAGTGGCACCGTCCACAATTTCTTTCATGGCTTGCGCCAATTGCGACACCGTAATTGTGCCATCCTTTGTCATATTGTCCGTAAACAATGGACTGGATTTTACCAAGGTTTCGGCGACCCAGGCAGAATGTTCGTAAATTCCACTCAAGAGTTCCACAACTTCGGAAGTAGGAAGTTTGACGAGTTGAGAAGGCGTTGGTTTGCTCATTTTGCAAGTGGGATCCGTACAAGTCTTGTCGTTGTTGGTAGTAGTGGCGGCAGCAGCAAAGGAGGAAGTGGAAGAAAGATGACTGACGGAACAGAAGAAAACAAAGAAGGAAAAAAGGATGGAATTGGAAAGACGAAACCTTGTGTTGTAGGTTCGTTGGATCATGCCGTTGTTGTTGTTATATCGGTATGACTGTTGTTGTTGTTTCATGACCGTACCTGGTACTACCGGTATAGAGGAATAAAATAATCCACACCACTTTTGGTTTTGGTGCCGTCGTATTTTTGGAAATTTGGAAGCGCATATATATATGTGTAAAAAGCACGAACAGTTTTTGGCAATATTATCTCCTATTTATTACACTATCGAAGATAGCCAACTGGCGCCTACCGCCTGGTTTCTTCCGTGAGGGATTCTTTCTTGGTGTGACTCTGGTGGGTTGTGGTGTGAAGCTGGTCTTTTGGATTGCGCGCGAAGCGTGCGGTTCCAGAAGACCAGTCTTTGATATCCCGCAAAGCGGAATATCAGAGACTTGCTTGCCTACTAGGTCATGCATTGATGCAAATTGCAGCAATGCATGGCCTAACAGGGATGTGGAGGGAGGGAAAGAAAGAAATAAATGTATTTCTTGATGTATACTCGCACACAAGTTCGATAAATTGATCGGACTTGGTGTTGCGGAGCAATGATGTTGAGACGGTCGTTCGACCGTCGTCAGTATGATGAAAGGAATCCAATGATTCGTTCTCGAGCTTTCGTCTACGTTAGACTATCGAAGATAGCCAACTGGCGCCTACCGCCTGGTTTCTTCCGTGAGGGATTCTTTCTTGGTGTGACTCTGGTGGGTTGTGGTGTGAAGCTGGTCTTTTGGATTGCGCGCGAAGCGTGCGGTTCCAGAAGACCAGTCTTTGATATCCCGCAAAGCGGAATATCAGAGACTTGCTTGCCTACCAAAAGTTGATGATCATGGTGTAATCAACCAACCACCACAACACACGAGACGCCATAGAAGAAACAAGATGGAAGAAAACAGGAAGAAATAGGAAAGAAGAAAGATCGGAAGGAAAGATGGATCTAAGAAGAAGGAGAAGAAGAAGAAGAAAATGTCAACTTCATTGCCCCTTGAATTGTTCGCTCAAGCGTGTCACCAATGGATTGAAAGCAGTCGCGGAGGTAGGTGGGCACAGAGCTCGGAAGCCAGCGTAATCGAAACGCGATTTCGTCATTATTGGCTCCACCTTTTTGTAAGCACACTGCTGCGGTGACCCGATTGGAATGAGGAACAATTAGATGCCGGTTAATCCGCATATAGTGGTTTGGATTGGGATATGCCAAATCAACGGAACGGCGCATCACTTCAGAGACCTCCCTGGATTTTAAGAAGTGATAAGAAGACATGGTGCCAGAACTCCATACGCCAATAGGGCAAGTGCCAGGCACACCAAGCATTGTCTTGCGACGAATGATACAAACAGCAGCATCGACAGGACAGTAAATTTGGTGGCCAGTGATCTTGAAGCGCTTCTTCACAAAGTTGAAAGCACTCTTATCATAACGCCAACAAAGCTCAAGCCACACAACATCACCACGGTTGTATCGTGTTACCAGATGATGGTGTGGGATCAACACATAATCCTTGTCAAAGAAACGAAAATCGATAGCCATCATAGCAAGTGGCATTCCCCGGAACGCTTTGGGAACATCATTTTTGTGTGGGATTGTATTGAACAGTTTTCCACGGTCTAAATCGCCTTGAGAATATTCACTGGCCCGAAAACCAGTGAAAATACCTAAGCGGGTCCAATCATATACACAGTGTACCTTACCAAGGAATGTGGCAGTGGGATCTGGTGAGTTAGCAAGCCATTGTTGCAACGCAACAAACATTTCCATGGTAAATGGTTCGTATCGTTCATTTTTCTGTTGCCAACAACGACGATCATGAATTTGCTGAAAGAGAAATGGGTGATACCGATTTTGCTTGCCGCCATAAGCAGGATCCATAACTTGGATAGGGCGACCTAAGCGATATTGCAAGTATTTGTGAGCTGTTGACAAATAGTTACGAAGTGTATCCGCTTTCAAATCCTCTTTTTCTTTGGAGTTGTCACCTCGTTTGACATCACGAAGATAAGTGCCAAGTACAAGGATGCAACCGGCATCATCTAACTTTTGTAAATCGTGCTCGGAAAGTTCTTGTCTGATGCACCAATTGGCAAAAAATTGGGCTCGAGAGTCAAAAGATCTGTCGTTACGCGCCCGTACTGATCCCCTGTCGGCGGTTCTTTCAGCGTCAATGCAATCTTGGACAGCAGTTCGAAAGGCAGAAGGCAGATGCGACATGTCTGTAGTTGGGACCATTCCGCGATAACGGAGGCCAATGAATTCTCGTGATCTTTTCCTTGAAGTTGTGGTCGACTTAGGGCGTCCGCTGCTCCGTTCTGATTTCCAGGATGATGTTTGGGACAAACTTTCATGAGTAATTGAGAGGCTTCAACAAGCAATGCAGAACCTATTCGAGCCAGTCCCTGTAGAAGAGGATCTTTTGTCCTGGATGCTGTCGACATCCAAGACACAGCCGTTGTATTATCGATCAATAAAGCTAAAATGTAGCCCCCATCGATGGGGCCGAGAAGTATCACACATTTGATGCAGATCCAAAGGTTGATGAGTGCACCCAGATATTCCAATGGGTTGATGTGTAAGAAACCATCAGGTAACGCTGGGTCATTAGATGAGATTTTTATTTCACGCATCTCAAAACCTGCTTCGACAAGAGTATCACGGGTCAGGCGCCAGAGGAAACTGAAATCAGCACTCCAGCCACCCAAGCCACCATAGCTTGCGTCGGAATATGCACGATGAGTGTAGTCACGATCCAGGTACAAAGCGATAGGCCGAGACCAAAGTGGGCTGTCCTCAGGCGCCAATAATGTCTCCAACAGTTGATGGATTGTAGCAACTGCCACACGCGATAGGTAGATACGAGAACATGTCCACCAGCTTCGTTTGTCGGAGAAGGCATTCTTGGCAGCCTGTGTCAGTGCATTTTGCAAGTTAAAGCTCAAGAAATTGCCCCATGGTGCAATTTCAGATGCAGATCGGACAATACCAACAATCTTTGCCATCTCACGAGGAGAAACGCAACGTGGACGACGTTTCAGGATGTCCAACAACTGTGAGTGCAAGTCTTCCCGTTTGTAGAGTGGCCAAGAAACCGTCATATTGTGTGTATTGATACGAAATCCTAGAAACAAAAAGGTTTCTGTAACCTCAGGTTCCCACGGCGCTTATCACCATGACCAAAAACCTCAAAGGCAGACATCACACTGTGATTGATTGCTTGCTTGATATGTTCAGCAAAGGCGGCAACTGCATTGTCGTCAACATAGCTAGCATTGTACATTCGAACAAGTTCGGTCACAGACAACGGTGGGTGATGGGAATCAGCAGGGACCGTGCACAAAGGAGTAGAAGTATCAACGGCAATGGTACATTTACGGACCAGCGCATGTAATTTGTCCAAAGGAACATCAACACGACAAGTTGCCAAGACCTCCCGTAGGTCGGCAAGAACACAGTAGAATGATGGAGCATTCCTTGAACCAAACACCTGGCCCACTGGGACAATCAAGTAGTCTGAGTATACATATGCAAATGCCACAGCTACATCTGGATGATAAAGCACACGTCGAAAGGCGGCTTCAATATCGTCAGCATGAACCAAAATAGGACTTGTCGGTTTGGTGATGCGCATACGGAGAACTTGACGTAGAAACCTCTTGAACGCAAACTGGTAGTGGATTGGAGGGCACTGCTCACCGGACTTATCTTGCTTTGGTTTGGGGATATAGGTGTTGATTGATCCTAAGTCGTCAGGACCATTGGAACAGTCAATGCAAATCCGACCTTTACCTTTGTCAAAAACCCACTGGATAGGATTAATAACCAGACCTGGGATGAATTGGAACACAAACCGTAAATAGTGAATATGATAAGCCTTCCATTCTTCTTTTGCAAACTTCTCCTCAACTTTGGAAGAATTGGCAGCAACTGCTGGATGGTTATCATATTCTTCTCTAAGGACAGTAGCAGACATAGGAGTTGTGTATTGGGCTTTGATAGGAACACCCTCAGTTTGGATGCGATAAGCCATTTCAAGTTTGAGTGGTGGGTATTCAGCCGGAACCTCTTTGTTATGCAAAGTAGAGTCAATGACATCCCATTCTGCGTTGAAATCTCGATCAGAATTGACGTATTCGCCACCCAACCAACGAATGAAATCCCCATGTAGAAAATCGAAACGAAGAAGACCCGCAGAATTGAGCTTTGCCCGTGTAGGATCCAACCTTGTCGGAATACCCGTTGTTGGTAGAACACGTGGTTCTTTCAAACAAGCCAGCGAAGTGACAGAGGCAAAGCGACGAAGAGAGGCATATTGACGCCACTGAGGCAACGCAATAATCACGTTGTGTCTATCCACTGTCGACAGAAAGCCCCAAGCATAATGAATCATGGATCGAGGGTTGACCTTTGCGTGGGTGCTGTAGCGATCTTTGTGTACTTTTCCAAAACCCCATTGTCTTTTGCGAGTAGTCTTCCAAGGACGAGAGAAGGGAAACTCCAAAAGCAGAGAATTTTTCGCCAAAGCCGGAGTCACCAGGGTCAGCACGTTATAATCTGTTTCATCCAAATAGTTGCTTGCCTGTACCAGGTGGGCAATCAGCATAAATGTCGGCTGAACTTGTCCATTTCCAGGAATATTTTCATGTAGCGTCTTAGTAGGAGTGTTGAATTTCTTTTCTTTTCCCCATGGTAGACACGGCACAGTCTTAAGAGGCAACTCACGAATCGGAAGATATTGCCAGTCCCAATCTCCAGGCCATCTGTTTTTGATCCGAGCTGGTGGTGTCTTGTGAAACCGACGCCTTGGGGGAACCATGATCTTTACTCTGTCTGATACCACTGGCTTGGAGTCGTGCTCCACAAGCTGGGCCCCTTCGGGTACCAGTGGATCCCATCACCAAGTTGTACTTGGAGTCAGTTTCTTGAATGCCTTGCTCGGCAAAATATGATCGTGATACTTCTTTATGAAATCGACAATTGGCTTCCAATCCTCTTCTTTGTAGGTGGCCGCGGACCAACGCGCATCATTCAAATCGATATGAAGACGAGTTTTGCCAGCATAGCGGCCCACCTTGTGGGTCTTACAAGTCCCGGGTTTGGAACAAGTACAATGGCCCTCAAAGGTGGAATTTAAACAGATGGGATACAATGTGTTCTTACCAGAAGTGCGTTTAGCGTGAGGATCCACAATCAAGGGATAGGTGCCCCGTTGGACCACTGGGTATAACATTTCCGACGGAGATTTCTTTCCCAAAGGAGTGACAGTATGATTCCACACAAATAGTGGACTGGTGTTACGAAAGGGAACATTCTCTTTATCATCCCGAGTACGCTCCGTCGTCTTTGGCTTTGGTAGGTCCAAAAGCCGTGAAGGCGCAGCTTTTTCAGGGGCAAAGAAAGGTGAAGAAGACATCGCCCACGAACATTCGTTTGGAGCAGTATACCGACCAGCTCCCCAATTGCGCTGTATGCGAGTATAGTAGTCATGAAGAACATTTACTACACTCTCCGTCTGAGCCATAAAACCTGCACTATTCGTTTTTGACGGCACCGACATAAATACTGCATTACGGTCATTTGTGGGCCACGCATCACTAATACCATAATTTTCCACATCATGTCCAATACGATGGTCAACGAACTTCTTCAGAATGTGAAATAGTTCACTTAAATCGCGAACGTAAGCAGCTGTACACTGTGCAGGTGTCTGAGCCCATCTACGACCCAAATTTGTGTTCAGGACATATTGACATATGTGTCGCAAACAATGACCAAAGAGTGAACTGCAGAAAAGTTCATCATTGTAATCTCCGTTATCCGAAGTTGGGTTTGTAGAGCCCAAGAGTGCAAAATGATAGTATATCACCATTGCAAATTCTTTCATCTGCTGCCAACTTAATCCGTCACTTGGTAGGTAATCAGAAGAAAAGTCTTCCGAAATACAGGGTAGGAATGCTAGCAATGAAAACCGTTTGGACGTTCCTGGTGGTGGAGCGCTGTCAGGATCCACCCACCATGTAGCAATATCAAAACTACGCTTGATGAAGGCGCTGTCCATTACGGACCGCAAATCACATTGTAGCTCTCCAACTTGCGAGAATGTTCCAAATTGGTATTTGGTTCGGTACTCTATAGCCGTACAAACAATATTCGCAGCCACACTGCCATCATTTTTGTAATCAAAACCTTCCAGACATCTACGCCCAATTTCTGTTGGTAGTCCAAATTGGAGAACGTCAGATGCCATTCGATCACCGAGAGATGTTCGCACCATCCCCACCGTAGGAGGGACTGGATGCAACAACCAATATCCAATTGCCTTCAATTCCGGGGGGCAACAAATGCGCTCCATGTCCGAGTTAATACTGGCAGTCCGCACAGGGGTATATTTGGACCGCAAATTTGGCTTGTTTGTGGTGAATCCGGGATGGGCCGGATAATAACCCATCGGATACATTGCACTTCCGTACCCTGCGGGATAAGATAGGTTTGGATGCGAAGCAGTATACATGTGAGGAGAAGGTATCCCTGGCGATGCTGGAAACATCTGTTGATGGTGCATCGGTGTTGGCAACCCAGGCGTCGGCAATCCTGTGTTATGTCCAGCAAACGGGGACGGGCCCCGAGGGGTAGGATCAATTTGGACTCGTGGACCTTGTTGAAATGGAGAATTCCATGTTGAATTGTGGATTCCATTAGGAGGCATACCTTGGGCTGGCGACTGGAGTGGTATGTTTGTACCGTTCATAACACCAGCAAACGGATTACCTCCTGTGGCATCGTGGAAACAATTGGAATTGGGATGATTGACACCCATGTGACGATTTTGCAAAGGAGATGGCGTCACCGCTGGCAGCTGTCTATCCGCAAAAGATTGGGTCCCAGCATGATCTTCAGGTGGCTCATAATTAGTTCCGTGCCCATCTTCGAAATGACCATCCTCAGTAAGGACGATCAAATCTCCACGAGCTGGTACCGGTGTACGAATTGGTGCTTGACGCAAGCTAGGCTTGTGGCGCTTAGCCGCCTGAATGAACTCTGCCATGTCATCATCCACAGGCAGACCGGCAGGTGCTGCACTAGGCAACGGCAACCGTTGGGCAACATATCCTTCAGGATCTTGAGCAGAGGATGGGAGTGGTCGAGGTGTATATTGCAAGTACGATTCCGGAACCTCACTCCCAGGATCTAAATCCAGCAACTTGTACCATTTGGATACACGACCATCCCATGACCTTTCTTCATCTTCATATGGGAAGAGGTAGTTGACAAAGGCTTGACATTCAGCAGGTAAAGTTGTACCCAAAGCTTCAGGAAAGGAATCCGACACACGCATGTTGTGCATCTTGACACGAGCACGCATCTTGAATCCAAGAGGCGACGTTGGCAAAGAGGCACTGCGATAAATGATTTGCATGAGATGGCTTCTGAGGAAACGATCCATTTGTTCTTGGAATGGGGAGAGCAAAGCCTTATCCAAAACTTGATCGTTGTCGAGATCTTCCTTGGTGGGGAAAGAATACCAGAGTGGCATAGCATCCACAACAGGGACAGCAAAACTTGCAGGACTATCTTTAACGGCCGTGAACCAAGATTCAATAATTGGCTTTCGTGTCTTCATTAGATGAAGAAGACCCGAGAAGACCTTTTTCCGATTAGCAATACTATTCTGAAATTCATCAAAACCGCCGCTCGCAGGCCAAACAAAACCCACAGGACAAGCAGACATGGTTGGAAAGAAAAGAATTTTCCAAGCATCACGATTGAATGGTTTATTACCAATTGCATCTCCATCTGTCATCAAAACAGGAAGAAGAGCTTTGGCAAAGTCAATTCGATTGCCCGTCAAAGGGGACGCAAAAGTATGTCCGGACATTGATCCCAACAGAAAATGGGTCTGTTTTGTGGGATCACTAACATACTGGCGCGCAAGATCATTGGTGACAATTTCCCCAAGGGGAGCCGGAGCTCCACACGTATTGGGTTCCAATATATCCGGTTTGGTCAAGACCGGATTGGAAATAAACATAATGTGACATGGCTCTCCATCTTCACCTTTCCTGACCAAAAGGGCAAAACCAGGAGACAATGTTTCTCCATTTCTCAACCGCTGGGCTGTAGTCAACTGAGGATCGTTCCACTTGTCAAACAGTTGCTCCAACTCTTCCATCCGTTGATCCTCGGGCTCCAAATCCTCCGGGCAGGTCACCTGATATACCGGGGTGGTGGTATTGGTGACAGGGTGGCCGAATGATTGATGGATTGTTTTGTCCAATCTCATTCCTCGCCTAGGATTGATGAGTTGATCGTGGATGGTCAAGTCTTTATGGGGCAGACGAGTGAGCTGATCCCAGAAGGTACGGCCGCGGGTTCCATGTTCCGACGCGAAAGCATCAGTCAAGAACTTCATGATGAGGCAGCAAGCAGGGATGGTGCGGCGGAAGGGAAGATGAAAGAGCACTAAAGGTCAGGTGTGATAGAGCGTAAATTCGACAGCTAACACAGGCAGTTTTCGCAGATCAGATCTACTACTCTTCGCCAACAACTTGATTCGAGAGTATTGAAAGAAAGAAATAAATGTATTTCTTGATGTATACTCGCACACAAGTTCGATAAATTGATCGGACTTGGTGTTGCGGAGCAATGATGTTGAGACGGTCGTTCGACCGTCGTCAGTATGATGAAAGGAATCCAATGATTCGTTCTCGAGCTTTCGTCTACGTTAGAAAATGTACAGTACCGGTACAGAAAGATTTGATGATGATTGATTCTGGCCGAACAACAGAAGTAAACTCGGTGCAATGACAATCTTCATCCATACTGATAATTGTGTGATAATGCTGTGATAATGTGTATTTTACCAATCAAGACAAACCGAAAAGATGCCAGAACATTCCATTGTCAAAATGAAACCACCAATACAATCAAGGTTTTCATTTAAAAAAAATTCAAGCCATCAATGGAATGAATGATGCGAAAGATGGGGCAAGGTGAACTTTTGTTTGGGATGGACCCATGTGATGCTGAAGGGTGGTCGAATCAATCTATCAACCCATCCATCAATCAATCGATCGATCATTCCAATGGCACAGCATTCTTTCATGCTATTCGATTGTGACTACTACGATCGTCTCCTTCTTCTACGTTTGGAGGAGAGATAGTACTACCGGTACGGGGTAACGCGACTCGAGAATAACACGAGGGGAATATTTCACGTCAGGCAGAAATTTCTGTTGTGCGACTGGAGACCAACCACGAGCGTCTCTTCTTCTACGCTTGGAGGAGAGACAGTAGTACCAGAGCCCATTTAACCCTACAGCAACGCGACTGGAGAACACGATGGCAATATTTCACGGCAAGCAAATATTGCTTCTGTGCGACTGAGCGAATACCAACCTCAAGACGACGATTTAGTCTTCTGTGCTCACTTTCTTACAAGGTCCAAAAAAGTTGAACACAAAAGCAACTACAAAGCATACTATCAAAGTTATCATGAAGTCACGCCAAGTCGCAGTCGATGAGGTTGTTGCCAGGCGTGAGAAAAGTTACGTCTGGTACAACAACAGGTTGTGGAAGTTTATGGGATTGGGTAAGAAACTCGGTTTTGCGACCTGAAACAATCATTCTAAAAAGCTAATCCATTTTTTAAATTCTTTCCAACAGCAGCAATCCTTGTCGCGGCAGCTGTTATCTGGGGCGAGAAAAATCCTGCTGCTGGTGATTATTCCTCCGCCTTGACAAAATCCCGTCAACTCAAGGCTCCGGCTAGAGCTCCTACATCCGCAGCAGCTCAGGCTAGAGCTCCATCTCCTCCGGCTACAGTTCCATCTCCTCCGGTTAGAGCTCCATCTCCTCCGGTTAGAGCTCCGTTTCCTCCGGCTACAGTTCCATCTCCTCCGACTACAATTCCGTCTGGAGCTCCGACATCCGAAGTGGGATGTGGGAACAACAAAGTGAACCTCTGTCACCTTGATGGAGGGGGAAACGAGTACAAGACCCTGTGTGTTTCATTGAACGCCATTCCCGGCCTTCTTCGTAGTAATGAAAATAATTACGTGGGCAAGTGCGTTCACGATGCCTTCTTGGAAGAAGCCGTCATCTTGGACTCGGAGCCAATGGAAGGCTCCGAAGTTTTTGACGACGATGGCGTAGCCTACGAGGTCGTTTACAATGCCACCATACTTACGACAGGTGTTGTCTCGCTTGGTGCCGCTTCCGAAATGATCACCGGCATGGCCTGTTACAACGATACCATGAGTATCAGCTTTAAAGAAACCCCGTCGCCGGACCACCTCGAGCGCATGTTTCCTGCCTTTGCATTGGTTGTATTTGATGGTAACACTCTGCAAAATATGGACTGTCAGCTTGGATTGACTCCGGCAAGCAATGACAATGACCCCGACGTCAACAGTTCGTTTCTTATGATTACCGGTGTGGAAGCCGAAGGCAAGACTGTCACTGTCCAAGGTATTCCCGCAAGCTTCCATCACATGTTTGAATACCAAGATATTGTTTATCGACCAGTCAATGCTCGCAGGAACCTCAGGAATCTTGCCCTAGGAGAATTCGACATTAGTGAGAGCTACGACGGTTCCTTCCAGCTTGGTAAAGACGAAAAACTCCAGATCAATGCCTATGCAAAGGTCAACATTGATGCCAGCTCCCGGGGTCTTCGACTGAAGACTTACATGAAGTGGCGAGGCTTCAAGAGCAAACTGATGGTCGATGCTCGTTATGAGGCTGGATTCGATCTTAGCGCCTATTTGAATGCCTCGTTTGTAGCCAAAGACAGCGTTGAACTCCTGAAGGGGGATAAGAGTACCGATTTCCTCTCTTTTGGAATCTACGGCATTGGATTGAAGTTTCCAAAACGTCTGCACAAGTGGGTGAAAAAGGTCATCCCTGGCTTCAAGCGCGACTACTATCTTGGAGCCAAAGCCGATATTCCTGCAGTCCTAAAGTACAGCTTGGATGTCGACTATGACGTGGACATCAACGCTGAGGGCAGCCTTTCGACCGGAAAGAAAGAAGTAGCCTGGAGGATGAAAGGTCCACTTTTTGGAAACTTGGAATCCGACTTTGATGTGACTGGAAGTGAGCCAGCCAAGTCCTCAGATATTCAGTTTGACTATAACTACGATGTAGATGTTGACGTCAAGATCAAAGGAGATCTTTCTGCAGGTCTAGAACCAGCGCTGGTTCTAGATATTGTTGGGTTGGCAGTAGCAAGGGTTGGAGTGTTTACTGGCTTTGATTTGAAAGCTGAATACAACACAGACGCACTGGATCCGATCACTTCAGATTCCACTTTTCCCGTGCTCTATGGGGACTGTGGTGTCTGCCATTACCTACAAGCCAAGTTTCAAGCGGCAGCCAGAGATGCTTTCTTCAGGACGCAGATTCTCGGGAAAGATCCAAATAATATACCTCTATTCGGAGATTGGGAGGTTGCGTTTGTGATAGCCCAGCTCTGTCTACTGAAAGGCGAGGATAAGAATTGCGGTGACACCTGCTGCCGTGATTCGCAGGTCTGTATTGTCGACGCCGTTTCCAAAGAAGGCAGCTGCCGGCACAACGGAGAGCCTACCCAATTACCGAGCGAGGCGCCATCGATCTCCCCAACAACTACAACCGATGGAATTCCTATTGGCCATTATCTTTTTGTAGTCGAGCCGGTTGGTGGATCTGCCAACTGTGATGGCAAGTTGAAGCTTGGTGATTGGGGCTATCAGGACAAATGCAACGGGTTTACGCCATCGGGCAATCCAGCCTATGAAATCTTGGTGTCAAGCAAACCTTCAAAATGGGTCAAGATGACTTTCAATGGTCACAACCGAAGTTGTTGGAGGAGCGACCGCGGCTTCTATATCGAGGGAACTCATAGTGGTCTGGAACCACCACCGGACAAATGTGTCGCGCTCCGCCGCCGAAGATACAAATGGGGGATGTGCAGCAACCGTGAAACATTCCGATTGAATGTCGACGGATACTACAAAGATGAGGAAGGGGAAGTTCATGTTTTGGATTTGAACGTGAAGGATAACTCAGTTTGTTAAGTCGGAGTTGGGCTCTACGAATGGCTGTGACAGTACCCCCACCAGATTCATCGATCGATGAAATGCCCGATGTAGGTTTGAAAGAAATGTCATGGATCTTGTCTAGCTTGGAAAGAATCAAGGACGTACAGTAGATAATACGATTATAGCAAGACGAGTGAAAGAGTGATTTTTGTTTGTTCCTTTTATAGCAACCCTTTTGACAATATGTGTAAAAAGCACGAACAGTTTTTGGCAATATTATCTCCTATTTATTACAAAATGTACAGTACCGGTACAGAAAGATTTGATGATGATTGATTCTGGCCGAACAACAGAAGTAAACTCGGTGCAATGACAATCTTCATCCATACGGTACTGATAATTGTGTGATAATGCTGTGATAATGTGTATTTTACCAATCAAGACAAACCGAAAAGATGCCAGAACATTCCATTGTCAAAATGAAACCACCAATACAACCAAGGTTTTCATTTAAAAAAAATTCAAGCCATCAATGGAATGAATGATGCGAAAGATGGGGCAAGGTGAACTTTTGTTTGGGATGGACCCATGTGATGCTGAAGGGTGGTCGAATCAATCTATCAACCCATCCATCAATCAATCGATCGATCATTCCAATGGCACAGCATTCTTTCATGCTATTCGATTGTGACTACTACGATCGTCTCCTTCTTCTACGTTTGGAGGAGAGATAGTACTACCGGTACGGGGTAACGCGACTCGAGAATAACACGAGGGGAATATTTCACGTCAGGCAGAAATTTCTGTTGTGCGACTGGAGACCAACCACGAGCGTCTCTTCTTCTACGCTTGGAGGAGAGACAGTAGTACCAGAGCCCATTTAACCCTACAGCAACGCGACTGGAGAACACGATGGCAATATTTCACGGCAAGCAAATATTGCTTCTGTGCGACTGAGCGAATACCAACCTCAAGACGACGATTTAGTCTTCTGTGCTCACTTTCTTACAAGGTCCAAAAAAGTTGAACACAAAAGCAACTACAAAGCATACTATCAAAGTTATCATGAAGTCACGCCAAGTCGCAGTCGATGAGGTTGTTGCCAGGCGTGAGAAAAGTTACGTCTGGTACAACAACAGGTTGTGGAAGTTTATGGGATTGGGTAAGAAACTCGGTTTTGCGACCTGAAACAATCATTCTAAAAAGCTAATCCATTTTTTAAATTCTTTCCAACAGCAGCAATCCTTGTCGCGGCAGCTGTTATCTGGGGCGAGAAAAATCCTGCTGCTGGTGATTATTCCTCCGCCTTGACAAAATCCCGTCAACTCAAGGCTCCGGCTAGAGCTCCTACATCCGCAGCAGCTCAGGCTAGAGCTCCATCTCCTCCGGCTACAGTTCCATCTCCTCCGGTTAGAGCTCCATCTCCTCCGGTTAGAGCTCCGTTTCCTCCGGCTACAGTTCCATCTCCTCCGACTACAATTCCGTCTGGAGCTCCGACATCCGAAGTGGGATGTGGGAACAACAAAGTGAACCTCTGTCACCTTGATGGAGGGGGAAACGAGTACAAGACCCTGTGTGTTTCATTGAACGCCATTCCCGGCCTTCTTCGTAGTAATGAAAATAATTACGTGGGCAAGTGCGTTCACGATGCCTTCTTGGAAGAAGCCGTCATCTTGGACTCGGAGCCAATGGAAGGCTCCGAAGTTTTTGACGACGATGGCGTAGCCTACGAGGTCGTTTACAATGCCACCATACTTACGACAGGTGTTGTCTCGCTTGGTGCCGCTTCCGAAATGATCACCGGCATGGCCTGTTACAACGATACCATGAGTATCAGCTTTAAAGAAACCCCGTCGCCGGACCACCTCGAGCGCATGTTTCCTGCCTTTGCATTGGTTGTATTTGATGGTAACACTCTGCAAAATATGGACTGTCAGCTTGGATTGACTCCGGCAAGCAATGACAATGACCCCGACGTCAACAGTTCGTTTCTTATGATTACCGGTGTGGAAGCCGAAGGCAAGACTGTCACTGTCCAAGGTATTCCCGCAAGCTTCCATCACATGTTTGAATACCAAGATATTGTTTATCGACCAGTCAATGCTCGCAGGAACCTCAGGAATCTTGCCCTAGGAGAATTCGACATTAGTGAGAGCTACGACGGTTCCTTCCAGCTTGGTAAAGACGAAAAACTCCAGATCAATGCCTATGCAAAGGTCAACATTGATGCCAGCTCCCGGGGTCTTCGACTGAAGACTTACATGAAGTGGCGAGGCTTCAAGAGCAAACTGATGGTCGATGCTCGTTATGAGGCTGGATTCGATCTTAGCGCCTATTTGAATGCCTCGTTTGTAGCCAAAGACAGCGTTGAACTCCTGAAGGGGGATAAGAGTACCGATTTCCTCTCTTTTGGAATCTACGGCATTGGATTGAAGTTTCCAAAACGTCTGCACAAGTGGGTGAAAAAGGTCATCCCTGGCTTCAAGCGCGACTACTATCTTGGAGCCAAAGCCGATATTCCTGCAGTCCTAAAGTACAGCTTGGATGTCGACTATGACGTGGACATCAACGCTGAGGGCAGCCTTTCGACCGGAAAGAAAGAAGTAGCCTGGAGGATGAAAGGTCCACTTTTTGGAAACTTGGAATCCGACTTTGATGTGACTGGAAGTGAGCCAGCCAAGTCCTCAGATATTCAGTTTGACTATAACTACGATGTAGATGTTGACGTCAAGATCAAAGGAGATCTTTCTGCAGGTCTAGAACCAGCGCTGGTTCTAGATATTGTTGGGTTGGCAGTAGCAAGGGTTGGAGTGTTTACTGGCTTTGATTTGAAAGCTGAATACAACACAGACGCACTGGATCCGATCACTTCAGATTCCACTTTTCCCGTGCTCTATGGGGACTGTGGTGTCTGCCATTACCTACAAGCCAAGTTTCAAGCGGCAGCCAGAGATGCTTTCTTCAGGACGCAGATTCTCGGGAAAGATCCAAATAATATACCTCTATTCGGAGATTGGGAGGTTGCGTTTGTGATAGCCCAGCTCTGTCTACTGAAAGGCGAGGATAAGAATTGCGGTGACACCTGCTGCCGTGATTCGCAGGTCTGTATTGTCGACGCCGTTTCCAAAGAAGGCAGCTGCCGGCACAACGGAGAGCCTACCCAATTACCGAGCGAGGCGCCATCGATCTCCCCAACAACTACAACCGATGGAATTCCTATTGGCCATTATCTTTTTGTAGTCGAGCCGGTTGGTGGATCTGCCAACTGTGATGGCAAGTTGAAGCTTGGTGATTGGGGCTATCAGGACAAATGCAACGGGTTTACGCCATCGGGCAATCCAGCCTATGAAATCTTGGTGTCAAGCAAACCTTCAAAATGGGTCAAGATGACTTTCAATGGTCACAACCGAAGTTGTTGGAGGAGCGACCGCGGCTTCTATATCGAGGGAACTCATAGTGGTCTGGAACCACCACCGGACAAATGTGTCGCGCTCCGCCGCCGAAGATACAAATGGGGGATGTGCAGCAACCGTGAAACATTCCGATTGAATGTCGACGGATACTACAAAGATGAGGAAGGGGAAGTTCATGTTTTGGATTTGAACGTGAAGGATAACTCAGTTTGTTAAGTCGGAGTTGGGCTCTACGAATGGCTGTGACAGTACCCCCACCAGATTCATCGATCGATGAAATGCCCGATGTAGGTTTGAAAGAAATGTCATGGATCTTGTCTAGCTTGGAAAGAATCAAGGACGTACAGTAGATAATACGATTATAGCAAGACGAGTGAAAGAGTGATTTTTGTTTGTTCCTTTTATAGCAACCCTTTTGACAAT